GTTTTCCACTCTGTACGCGAGAAATGTCACCAGGCTAACACTCCCAGTCGACAAACGCCCTAGCCTCCACTCCTTTGCCCCTCGCCACAGCATAGTCCCACACACGCAATGTGGGTGACCAGTGTTTTAACGGCTCGGAACGGACTTAATAATAATAATAATATCTTATTGAAAAGGAAAATCGGGCGGGAGACCGCCACTAGCTTTGCTCCATGGCGAACATAAACGTTAAACCCGTTGGTGTATAGTAATTCTATCCTTTAAATAAACTAGTCTAGATGTAAAGTATAATATTCAAACCTTTTCGTTTGTTGAACTTGTTGAAGACACTTGTACTCTTGAGCTCAAATAGTCGTGACGTAATCTCAAAGTGCAGTCGGCAAGTGATGCATGGTGTTGAATTAATGGGGTTTTATAGTTAAAATGGAAACAAGTTTGTGTTCAGTGGTCCAGTAAGTTCGATAGTTGCTCTACGCTGATTGGTCCAAAATAATGGTGTGATGTCATGGTGTGATGGTATGATGTGTCCTTCTTTTTATCACGGGGTACGCGGTCATTGACCCCAGTCAGCATGAGTCACACCGGATCCGTTTCCCACGGGGGGTGTCAGCCAGGTGTTTAACTGGGTCACCAACATGGCGGATTTGGGACTGTGTTCTCCAAGGTCATTATGAGGTCATGCTTCTAGGCTTTGCCTAATGAGGTCACACAAGTGGTGATGACATCATAAAATCAAAATGGCGGATATTCGTGTATTCCAGCCTGTTTACAACACATCAAGGAAAATTAAACCGAATAGCACAAGAGAATATTTCGCCGGTCCTTACCAAAAGACAGTGATAGAGCAGCTCGTTCGTGACCTACATTTGATAACAGCATAAATGCTTATCCGGATGTAATGTGCGCATGCGTCAAGGTGTGACGACGCAAATTTTGACTGATCATAGAAGGTGTAGACTCTGTGCCTGACAGACATGTGAGTGACATGCAAACGAGTGAGTGAGTTTAGCTTTACGCCGCAATATCCCAGCTATATGGCGGCGGTCTGTAAATAATCGAGACTGGACTAGACAATCCAGTGAACAACAGCATGAGCATCGATCTGTGCAATTGGGAACCGATTACATATGTCAACCAAGTCAGTGCGCCTGACCACACGGCCCCGTTAGTCGCCTCTTACGACAAGCATGGGTTACTGAAGGTTCATTCTCGCCCGGACCTTCATGTAAACGAGCATGGTCGTTGTTTTATTGACTTTCACATTGATGCCAGCTTTTGCATTCTTAATGGAAGGAAATACGTGACAAATGACTTTGTATATATATTGGGGCGGTGGGGTAGCCTAGTGGTTAAAGCGTTCGCTCGTCAGGGTTTGATCCCCAAATGGATAAAATGTGTCAAGCCCATTACTGGTGTCCGACAGCGATATTGTTGGAATATTGCTACAAGCGGCTTAAAACCCAGCTCACACACTCACTTACATGTATAAAACCGAGAGGCGCTACTGCCCAAGAACTAGCCAAGGGGAACTATGCGACCACGACCGTCTTTGCGTGCTGCAATCCTCACTATTGTTGACACGGTAGGGCTTGTGGGCTGCATTGATGTAGTATGTGGGATAGCCACTGGCTCGCTAGCCCGTGGCTAGTAAAACTCCAGTCGGGCCAGTAAATCTCCACAACCACTGGCCCGACTGGCTAGTGAAATTTCATGGGGTCATAATGTAAATATACTCTCCCAAAAAAGAAACGCATCATGAAAATAGCAATTTCATGTAGCAATGAAATAAAACGTGATTCATTTTACAAAAGGTTTTGCTCTGTTTATGAGTCCTGTGGTGTTTATGTTTTGAAACATCACATCAAAACGCACCATCCGTAAAATACCCGTATTTAACAGCATGATTTTCAATTTCGGCATGTGGTGTCACAGAATACACAATTCACATGCAATGCACATGAAAGTTTGGGATCAGATAGTCTCAATGATGGGTATAAAAGGTTGATCGCTGTCTGTCGATTATTCACTGTATTTGGAATATTGTTGATGAACGCAAAATGCCACGTCTAAGTGAAGCCAACCGTCATATCGCCATTGGTTTGCTTGAAGCTGGCCAGTCTCAACGTGCAGTTGCCCGACGCTTGAATGTTCAGCAAAGCACCATTTCACGGCTCTGGGAGAGATATCGCCGGCAGAATGCGGTAGCAGATGCCCCTCGTAGTGGGCGACCTCGAGCGACCACTGCGGCGCAGGATCGCTACATCCGGGTACATCACCTGCGTCATCGAACAGCTACGGCGACCAGTACCGCTCGACAAATACCCGGATTGAGGAGGCTTTCTGCACAGACCGTCAGGAACAGGTTGAGAGAGACTGGTTTACGTGCCAGAAGACCTTATTTTGGCCCTGTGCTTCGACAACAACATCGTCGACATCGAGTTCAATGGTGCACCAACGTTCAGGCCTGGAACCTACTGAATTAGCGTAGAATCTGGTTCTGCTTATCCTGGAACTTGGTTCCTTGGATATCCAGTTGAGATGAACACAAGCGAGTACATAACTCAATGACCCAAAAAGTTAATTGTAGCTCGGAAAAGCTATATAAAGGCTGGTTGTTGAGTTGTACCACGGTACTTTTCACATGACTAGATTTATACACATCTCTCTGCAATCATCAAGTTGTTCAACGTGCTTGTCTATTTTCTACTAGATTGTCTTGGACGAAGTGTACTCATACCTTGTTAGTAAAGATAGTAAGGCCCCCTTTGCTCTGAAGTATTTGTATATACAATATCCAAGTATACCGGTAAAGTTAGTGTTCAAGTTGTTTGATAGTAAGGTTACACCCGTGTTATTATATGGGTCTGAAATCTGGGGGTTCGAGGAGTGGAAATCAGTTGAAATATTTCACACTAATTTTGGCAAGTATGTTCTTGGTGTAGGTAAGCAGGTTTCTAGTAATGGAGTTTTCGCAGATTGCGGTAGATTAAATATGTATGTCGATTATCATGTCTGATGTATAAGTTATAGGTGTAAATTATTAATGATGTCCGAGGATCGTCTTATTTACTCATGAGGAAATTAGATTTAGCTGGTTGAGTAACGTGGGCTACTTTTAAATATGTGTTAAGGTTCTGTGTTGTTTTGTTTCGTACAGTCAGGGTGTTTCTCAGTTTATATATAGTTTTAAGAATAGAATAGTTGATTGTGATAAACAGCGTAATTTTGATAATATAAATCTATCTTCTCATTTGAAATTAAGTCACTTTGGAATGTTTAACATTAAGTAAATTTCATAAACCAAGTGGCTGTTGGAAGAAATATGTGCCTTCTTAGATTACATTCCGTCCGTGGTGTAGTGGTTAGAGCGTCCGCTCAGAGAGCGGAAGGTCGCGGGTTCGATCCCCGACCACGTCATACCAAAAGACGTTAAAATATGGTACTTGTTGGTCCCTGCCTGGCGCTCGGCATTAAGGGGTGCAACAAGGACTGGTCGAGTCAGTATAATGTGTCTGAGTGGGTTATTCATGCTTCACTGCGGCATGGTATCTCAGTGGGCTAGCACTATAAAACCAGCTTAAGTCTGGGCTAGTACAAGCAGCCGCACATACACATACACTCGCATGCACGTCGTCATATGAGCGAAATATTCTCAAGTACGACGTAAAACCCAATTTCACCTCACCTCCCCTCACCTCTCTCCTTAAAAACCTAAAACATCAAATTGTAAATATCCGCAACATGTTTCCTTAATGGGCAGATAACTCCATAACGGAATGGCTGATGGAAGGACGTGGTTGAGTGCTGCAGCTGAGGAGGATGAAGATGGTTATTTTCAGAATTTTGTAAGTTGTATGAAACTGATGATCCAAATTTCCGGGTACAAAATCATTGAGATTTTGTATTTTGAAAACGTTTTCATATGTTCTACGGGGGCGGTGGGGTAGACTAGTGGTTAAAGCGTTCGCTTGTCACGCCAATGGGTGAAGCCCATTTCTGGTGTCCCCTGCCGTGATATTGTTGGAATATTGGTAAAAGCGGCGTAAACTCACGCACTCATTTTGGTCAAATCCAGTTTTCAAGCGTACAATTTCTATTCTAATACTAAAGTCACTCACTTACTATACATATTTACATGATGTGTAATGTGGTACACATGTTAAGACACTTGGGAGGCGTGGTTTCTAGCGGTAATTGTTCTAATTTATCATTCAACTCTTAGTGACACTCATCCCGGAATTCCCATGGACTTCCCATATGTTCTAAATTAACTGATCTTACAAACTGTAACATTCAGTAGATTATATCATTGTATCCAATGTGTTAACTATACGTTTTATCAGGAAGGATAACAATATATGGATGCAAGCAAGTGATAGAAGTGCTTGATAATGGTGTTCCTACACCGAAACGTCGCTCTCACTGTAATAAAGAATTTGTTCATCCATAGATTATCCTTCCTTACTGCTCCAACTTCTAAATCCTTCTTAAAGAAGTTACACTTTTCATGTGATTCGATATAGGTTTTATAAACCTTTTTTATCAGTTCGTTATTACCGACCCGTGAATTGATAGAATTGATCTTCAGCAAACCATGCTTGTCGTAAAAGACGACTAACGGGATCGGGTGGTCAGACTCGCTGACCTTGTTGACACATGTCATTGTATCCCATAGATCGATGCTCATGCTGTTGATTACTGGAATGTCTTTTACAGACTTGATTATTTACTGACCGTCGCCATATAGCTGAAATATTGCTGAGTGAAAATTAAAAATTGCCAAATAAATTTATATCTTTTTAGTTTCAGTCAGATAGCCTAAATATCAAACTACATCCAAATAACGGGTGTGTGTTATGATGGCCATAGTGTATGAGACATATTGAGACTGAATGTATGTTTGTGTCAACGGAGGATAATATTGAAAGTCATGGTGCTCGTGACCTTGCACCCCCCTTTAACATTTTCAGACTTTAGTCGTGCGTGACAGAAGAGAGTCATAAGGCATCCCAGTCAATGACACACACTGAATGAACACGATGGCTGACAGTGCCTGTATCAGTATGTCTAGATGGCCTGTGAGAGGGATCCTCTCCGTGCTGGGTGGATTTCTCGTCCATCTGACCCTCAGCACCGTCTATGTTTTCGGTAAGAAATTAACTACATTACTGACTTGCTTCAATCTATTTTGTTCAGTCTTTACGTTTAAACCATGAGGTTCGTAAATTCCAATGGGTATTGCTCCATGCCCGCTAATTTCTTCTGATCATGAGGGGTGGTCTTGTTGTTAAAGCATTCGCTCGTCACGCCGAAGACCTGGGTTCGATTCCCAACATGGCTACAATGTGTGAAGCCCATTTCTGGTGTCATTGTCGCCGTGATATTGCTGGAATATTGCTAAAAGTGGCGTGATACCATACTCCCTCTCTCTTCTGCTTGTGAGCGTCATAGGCGGATCCAAGGGGTGGGGTGGTGCGGGGTGCGCACCCTCCTTTGTCCTGAAAGTTTATTAAATGACCATTAAAACTCGGGTGAAAATGAAGTGTGCACCCTCCTTTTCTCAATAGTGTGCACCCCTTTCTCAAAAGCTGTATCCGCCCCTGAGCGTCTAAACGTTCAGCGCCCTAAAGAAGCAAACAAAGCACATTAAACTGAGGGGCAAAAGAAACGTCCCCGATCATTTTTGTATCATAAAATGATACAAACACGTGCAATTCAATGTTGAAATGTTTGATATAATTTTTGAACATATTATGCAGACTGTCATTACAGAACAATTGAAACAATTTGCTGTAAGTAGAGTTTTTGTGACGTTTTTCACAGGAGGTTCAAATGTCCGGTTTTCGATCATGACAACACATGCACATCAGTACTGACAGAGTGTCTTTGAGTGTCCAACTCCTCAGTAGCGAGTGTGTCCACCTCTTGCAGCGATACATGCTGCCACACGACGTCGTGCAGAGTGCACAAGACGTCTGATCACGTGATGTGGGATGCGACGCCATTCTTCCTGTAGAGCTTGAGCCAAAGCGTTTCTTGTCTGTGGGGGGATGTTGACGTTGCTTAACCTGACGGCCGAGATGATCCCATAGGTGCTCAATAGGTGATAAATCGGGGGATCTTGCTGGCCAAGGAATGACGTTTACGTTGTTGTTGTTCAGGAAGTTCCGGGTAACAACAGCAGTGTGGGGAGTAGCGTTATCCTGCTGAAACAACACGCCTCGATTCTGCTGGAGGAAGGGTAACACGACAGGTCGTAAAACAACATCAATGTATCGACGGGCATTCAGGTTTCCCTCTATCACCAACAAGTCAGTCTTCCTCTCGCCACAAATTTTCCCCCACACCATCACACTACCGCCGCCAAACGTCTCAACTTCCTGAACGCAACAACGTGCTGTGCGTTCGTTCCGACGTCTGTAGACTCGTACCCGACCATCAGCTTTGTTCAACTGGAAGCGGCTCTCGTCACTGAAGAGTACCCGGCGCCAGTTCCGCGGCTGCCACTGCCGAACTCTACGTGCCCAAGCCAATCGACGACGTCGATGTTCACGCGTTAACGTCACGCCCCGGAATGGTCTGTAGGCTCTGATACCGAATCGGCGGAGTCGTCTGGATATGGTCCTTCTACTGACTGGATGGGTAAGGCTGGTTGTTGCTGATGACGTCACAGTCAGGAATCTGTTGCGCAAGTGAAGCACCCGTAAATGGCGGTCTTCCTGAGGGGTGGTTACGGGTGGTCTCCCCTGTCCTAGGCCTGTCTGCAGTCCGACCTGTTGTTCTGAAGCGTGTCATCAGTCTGGTGATGGTTTTCTTGCTGCAACCCATGATTCTTGCAACGTGACTGTGAGAAGCACCCAGCTGCAACATCCCAATAGCTCGTTCTCTGTTCTGCCGTGAGTCGAGGCATGTTCTTTGTGTCCAACGTATTGAAGTGATGAATTCGAACAGTCGAGCATAATTTTTATACTGTACTTTCATACGGGTATGTTTCCACAGAAGCATGCAAAAACGTGAATAAAAGCAATTTTCATGCTTACAAAAACTCCACGTGGATTTCCTTTCTGTGAGACGTGGGGATGCGTTCGGGAGATGTGTTCCTAAATAAATTTCCGTCATAACGAAAACAGAAGAAATGTTTTTTTGCCCCTCACAATTTTACTTTGGGGACGTTTCTTTTGCCCCTCAGTTTAGGCGAAATATTCTCTTGTGCTATTCGGTTTAACTTTCCTTGATGTGTTGTAAACAGGCTGGAATAGACGAATATCCGCCATTTTGATTTTATGACGTCATCACCACTTGTGTGACCTCATTAGGCATAGCCTAGAAGCATGACCTCACAATGACCTTGGAGAACACAGTCCCAAATCCGCCATGTTGGTGACCCAGTTAAACACCTGGCTGGAATATTGCTGAGTGTGGCGTAAAACTAAACTCACTCACTCAATTGGGTCCCATCCGGGATTCGAACCCACACTAAGAAAGTGTAAACCCAGATATAACATATATGTTACATTTGACCACTTTCTAAATGGCATTGTGTATTCATATAATCCTCTTTGACTGCACTGTCATTCATAAAGTTCATGATTATTTTACTGTTGAGAAATACATGAAAAGTTATAATAGAGCCCTTGTTTACAAAATGAGTTTACTCCCAGGAAATATGAACCCATACGTGACGTCATATCTACGAGGGGGGGACGAGAACTCCACAGTGCGGTACACCCAGACAATATGGATATCAATTGCTCAGTCCATATCTATGGCAGGCTCCATGCCTGTCCTGGGGTTGCTGGAACAACGGATCCATCCAAAATACTGTGCCCTGATTGGCTCGTGGATTTTCAGGTAACATGAACTGTCTCTGCTAGAGTGAGTGAGTTTAGTTTTACGCCGCCATTAGCAATATTCCAGCGATATTAGGGCGGGAAATACCAGAAATGGGCTTCATACATTGTACCCATGTGGGGAATAGACCCCGTGTCTTCGGCGTGAAGAGCGAACGCTTTAACCACGAGGCCACCCACTGCCCAATCTCGGCTAGAACTTGCCAACTCAGTTGCTAGATTATCTACGTCACGGTTGCAAATATCACGATGTGCATGACACTGTTTAAAATCTTGGTGAGAAGCAGAAATATACCTCAACATATAGGGAAGCACAACTATTGGAAAGGTGAAGGTGAGGTGAGGTGAAATTGGGTTTAACGTCGTGCTTGAGAATATTTCGCTCATATGACGACGTGCATGCGTGTGTATGTGTATGTGCGGCTGCTTTCACTAGCCCAGACTGAAGCTGGTTTTATAGTGCTAGCCCACTGAGATACCATGCCGCAGTGAAGCATGAATACCCCACTCAGACACATTATACTGACTCGACCAGTCCTTGTTGTACCCCTTAATGCCGAGCGCCAGGCAGGGACCAAAAAGTACCATTTTTTATCTTGTTTTGGTATGAGGCGGTCGGGGATCGAACCCACGACCTTCCGCTCTCCGGGCGGACGCTCTAACCACTACACCACGGAGGCGGCGGAAAGGTGAAGGCATCCATCGTGTCTAAGTCAGTACAGTGGAATCTGTCGATTACGGACTGGCCTTGTGGAGACTCTTTTGTCCGGATTATAAACCAGTCCGGATTAGTCAACGTTTGTCCGTTACCGTTGACACATTAAATAACGTGTCTTTATAGAATGAATTAACCATTGAGAACAGAGAACGGAGATGTTTATTGAAGGACTATTTTAGTCAGCAACGTCCGGATTACAAGGCATTGTTCTCACAGCAAGTTGATTGTTGGGATTGTTATTTTAGTCCGTAATCCGTCCGACTTCTCAGAGAGAAATCCGGATTATGGATAAAAACGGTTTAAAAGAGTCCGGACTTGACAGATTCAACTGTATATACTCCAAAACGGTGTGCGTCTTGTAATAATTAAGGAGAACGCAGTTGTTGACCTTGGGGATACCTCCTACTTGTTAAAATGCATTACCCCAAACCTCATATAGATGTTATCAATGCGTCTAACTGTATGACTACAATGTTGTCCAGTCTAGGCATGGCCTTGACCTACTGGACGCACTTGTTGACCTTGGGGATACCTCCTACTTGTTAAAATGCATTACCCCAAACCTCATATAGATGTTATCAATGCGTCTAACTGTATGACTACAATGTTGTCCAGTCTAGGCATGGCCCTGACCTACTGGACGCAGTTGTTGACCTTGGGGATACCTCCTACTTGTTAAAATGCATTACCCCAAACCTCACATAGATGTCATCAATGCGTCTAACTGTATGATTACAATGTTGTCCAGCCTCGGCATGGCCTTGACCTACTGGACGGTACGTCACTCTCTGGGACTGACGATCCTGACGTATGGCGTTATTCACGGCGCAGGTAAAGGAATGGCCTACCCAGCAGCCGTCAAGTGTGGCCTTGAGGTAGGTGGACTGTCACTAAGGATACCAGTACCGTTATAAAATAGTGAAGTCAGTGTAGTAATTCCAATGTCTTCCTTGACTGACGTTACAACACTGATGAAAGGTGAACAACGAGGAGAGTTCTATGGATATACAACTTCTTTAATATAATATAAGCGACGTTTCGATGTAAATATACAACTTCTTTAATATAATATAAGCGATAACGATGTTAGCTACTACATCGAAACGTCGCTTATATTATATTAAAGAAGTTGTATATCCATAGAACTCTCCTCGTTGTTCATCACACCAACTTCTAAATGCCTGCATGGGTATTCTAGCGCTGATTTATTAGTATTGCACCGGGAGGATTGCCGAGGCGTGGGAGAGACGGCGATCAGAACCGATATGCCTCGAGAAAATAGAAAACATCTTATAATTCATCAACCACAAACATCAAATGCCCGTGCCCTACGTCATCTACACCGACTTCAAAGCTCTCATCAAACAGGTGAACGGGGAACGGGGATGATATCAGTCCCGCTATAACGAGATTTCAGTTGTAACAAAGCACTGTCAGGGTATTCAATACCCTTTAAATTCCGATGATCACTCACTACTTGTGAATTTTAAGGATATATGTACACAAACACGAGTAGAACATCTCTTTTCGGGCAAAAGAATGTTGAATCCAATATAAGAAAAATACAGTCACTACAGCTTGTTATAACCAGCTTCGTACCTTCTTTGACATAGTTATGTATTTACGCTATGACACCACCTGCTTCATATTGATACTTCAGTGTGTTTCTGTTGATACCCATGATCACAAGCCTGCCCCTGTTGATACCCATGACCTCAAGCCTGCCCCTGTTGATACCCATGATCACAAGCCTGCCCCTGTTGATACACATGATCACAAGCCTGCCCCTGTTGATACCCATGATCCTCAAGCCTGCCCCTGTTGATACCCATGATCACAAGCCTGCCCCTGTTGATACAAAGCCTGCCCTGTTGATACAAGCCTGCCCCCCTGTTGATACCCATGACCTCAAGCCTGCCCCTGTTGATACCCATGATCACAAGCCTGCCCCTGTTGATACACATGATCCCAAGCCTGCCCCTGTTGATACCCATGATCACAAGCCTGCCCCTGTTGATACCCATGATCACAAGCCTGCCCCTGTTGATACTAAAAAGCCTGTTGATGTCCCGGTGCAGTGGTTCCCTACACGGAAGGGTCTGGTGGCCGGTCTGATCATATTGATACTCACAATTGTTTCCATGTTTATACTCATGACCTCAAGCCTGCCCCTGTAGATACTAAAAAGCCTGTTGATGTCCCGGTGCAGTGGTTCCCTACACGGAAGGGTTTGGTGGCCGGTCTGATCATATTGATACTCACAATTGTTTCCATGGTGATACCCATGATCACAAGCCTGTTCCTGTTGATACTCACAAACCTGTTCACACTGTTGTTCCGGTGCAGTGGTTCCCTAAAAGGAAGGGTCTGGTAACCGGTCTGATCATTGCGGGAATTGGCGGAGGAACCTTTGTGTTCAATGAGGTTATCACACACTTCATCAACCCCAACAACCTCCTGCCGGAAACCTCACATCGTGGCGACTTGTACGTAGCTCTATCAACTACGACCAACTGTCTAAAACCTATACAGCTACCTCCATGTATGGTGTAATAAAGTATAGTTTTGCCCTGAACTATTATAGTTCAAGCACGAGGAAGTAATGTCCTCGAAATTTCGATTTCTTTTCTCGTTGCGTATATTTCGCATACTTTTCGAGTTTTTAAAATAATCTTAAACTAAGGAATAATTAACTGAAATTACGACAAAATAATCGATGAAGTGAGAAACATTATGAAATGTAGAGTCTTTGGGAGAAACTTCAAATTAATGTGAAAATTTGCTCAACCAGTAACCAGCATGGCTTAGCGACTATTCCGTACATTGCAGATATTTTAGCCAGAGTGTACTACTCGATAAGGTTCCTTACTGCTTCCTTCTACTGGGTGGTGTTGATGCTGGTATACAGCTCTTTGCCGTACTTCTCATCAGCAAGCCAAAACCAGGAGCACCGGAGGTCAGTATTGTATCTAAGATCTTGTTTGTTTACAATATTACAACTGTTTGACAATGTCCCGAAAATAATCGAGTCTGGCCCTCACAAGTCCAAAAAGTCCCAACCATCTGGGTACCGACATGACGTCAACCAAGTCTCCAAGACCCCCCGTAAATAATGGTACCGAAATAGGTTGAAAGGTCCAGCCCCCTGGAATACAACACGTTCATGTAGATTTCAATCTTACACAACAATTATACATTCGTAGTACTCTTCTTTAGAGGATCATTTTATTATATCAATCTTCATTTAATTCTTGTTGTTTTTATAGAAATAGAATTATGTGATACAGTTTGAATATTTGAATTATTTTAAAATTGTGTGTTGTTATCTCTAACTGATATCATTGATGGCCGTGCCACTCAGGAGTGTAAAGTTATTGTCCCATTGCAAGTTCGCCATCAGTGACGTTTTGATCTATCTACCAGAACTCTGCTCTCACAGAAGACATTAACCAGAGCTCTGCTCTCACAGAAGACATTAACCAGAGCTCTGCTCTCACAGAAGACATTAACCAGAGCTCTGCTCTCACAGAAGACGTTCACCAGAGCTCTGCTCTCACAGAAGACGTTCACCAGAACTCCACTCTCACAGAAGACGTTCACCAGAGCTCTGCTCTCGCAGAAGACGTTCACCAGAACTCCACTCTCACAGAAGACATTCACCAGAACTCTCCTCTCATAGAAGACATCCAGATGAACCAGGTTCTGCAAGGCTCAGAAAACAAGGAGAATAATGGAGAAAGTGAAGCGTTAGAAGTCAAACCAAGCTCAAAGTAAGTTTTGACTGGCTGATTGTCGGTGAAAGGTCTTCAGTATTATTTCAGTGAATGAAACATACAACTTTATGGATGACAACTGGTTTATTTGCGTTGAGCGACGTTTCGATGTAGATTCTTACATCGTTATCAAGCTAAAAGTGAGTACAACCAAATGGTGAGGAGCATATATACATGGTATGTTGTGACAAGCAGCAGATTAACATTAACAACAGCATGTAATAGAAATAACAAGTGGTACATAATTGGAAGAGGCAAGTAGGGAACTAAAAACAACAAATAGCACTAGTGATGAAGCCAATAAACAGGGGGAATAGGTAGTAACAACAAATAGACAGGGTGCTATTGATGGTCTATAGTTTGATTAGTTCTTCATAGGCTGATGAGATGTAGTATCCTTGGTCACGGTTGATCAAAGGTTTGTGGCAGCGGATTTCGATGGCTTCCAACAGTTTTCTTTTTGTGAAGTCCTGATTATTGGTTGATAGGACTTTGAATTCGTCAAACTTCATTTGATGGGTAGGGAACTTTTGCTGGTGATCTGACATGGCTGATTTGCTGTCTGCCTTAGCTGTAGAGGTTTGATGTTCTTTTATGCGGGCGTCAACGGGACGGGAGGTTTCACCTATATAAGAATCACCACATTCACAGCTTAGTGGAGGGTGGATTACGGCCATTGGCCTGGAGAATGGTCCTGGTGGTTGGAGAGCCAGAGAAGATGGTGCCGATACCTGGTGGTGCTTGAGAAGTCTGCTGATTTGGTGGGAGGTCTTGCCAATATAAGTAAGGGTAATTCTAATGGGGGCGGCTTCATGCTTTGTCATTTTGGGTTTGTCCTGGAGATGGTCCTCTTGACTAGGATGGTGGCATTTATTATTTCAGTGTACGGAAAGACATGACACTTTAAACAACAATAACAAACACATGGTTTTCTAATACACAATGCTATTATGTGGAGTATCATTATGTTTTGTCGCTTTTATTAAGTAGGTTTTCTAAACATTTGATCGCCATTTTATTTTTGCCGTTTGAGAACAGATTGCAAATACTCCAAAACTGGGCTGAATGCCCAACTTGATGTCTGCCGTTAAACCAGAAGTTGCTTAATGAGTCAGCGACTGGCTAGTTATGTTTTGAAAGTTGAGGACACCAACTTGACAACCATATTATAATGTTTCTACTGTACTTTCAGATTCCATTTCTTGGCATTTCTGCATTCTTTGCAGCTATAGAATCATATCGTACAATATTATCATTTCGTGTAAAGGAAGCTACATTTTGTTGTATATGTGTTCGATGCAGTCAAAAGAAATTTGTGTTTTCATGTAAACTGTCTAGCAATAGAAACTGTGCGCCTGAAAACTGGATTTGACCTAAATGATTACATGATACCTCATCTACGTCACAATCGAATAACCATTAATTTGTCTTTTTTGTTTCATCCATCAGAAGACAGGGATGTATACTTGCTTCGGTAGTGTTTTTGTATCCTCTTTAAAGGCACACTGTCACACATTTTCGACAATATATTGGCCTATATTATACATATTTGGGCATATGCACTCACTTAGACTAAAAGACTTATTATCCCTTACGACTTGCTTGAAATTGATAATTGAACCTTCGAGGCGAACAGCTTCCATACAGAGAACACTTGCCAAATATGGAATGTAAACAATTGCTCCGTACATGGAAAACTGTCGATTGAATGCAACGTTGCATTAATTCATTCGAACTCTTTAATGTAATTTTGTAATCTAAATACCTAATTTCTGTTTGGAATAATTTATATGGTAGCTTCCCTGAGGGATGATAGTGAGAGAAATGCATTGTTTATTTTTAGAGAAGTGAGGCGTGATATAGTGCCTTTAACTATGTTTATTAGTAAGTGTCAAGGTTACATTGAAATGTCCACCTCTGCAACATGAACTTGTACATGTGTACCTCATCCATCATGACATTCAGGGTCGGCAGTAGGGTAGCCTAGTGGTTAAAGCGTTTACTTTTAACGACGAAGACCCGGGTTCGAATCCCCACACGGGTGCAATGTGTGAAGCCATTTGTGACATCACCTCCTATGATTTTTCTGGAATATTGTTATATGCGGCGTAAAACCACAGTGATTTATTCCGCCAATATTATCTGCAACATATATTTTCCATCAGCAGTGATGAAAGGAAGACCGACTTTGCACCCTGGGAAGTTCTTCGAACCAAGATATTTTACCTCATGTGGATAATCTTCCTCTGCGTCGTCCTTGGCATCTTCTTTGTAACCAACTTTTATAAGGTATGAGGGTACAATGTGTGAAGCCCATTTCTGGTGTCCCCCGCCGTGACATTGCTGGTACAGTACTAAAAGCGGCGTAAAACCATACTCACTCACTCACTTTATAAGATATGGGATGGGTTCGTATTACGACTGTAACTGTTTGTGTCTATAAATAATCGAGTCTGGATCAGACCTTCCAGTGATCAACATCCCGAGCATTGATCTATGCAATTAGGAACCGATGACATGTGTCAACCCAGTCAGCGAGCCTGACCACCCTATCCCGTTAGTCGCCTTTTACGACAAGCATGCTGAAGACCAATTTTAACCTGGATCTTCACGGGGACCATATTTTAAGTAATATGGTAATAAGAGCTTTTGGTAATAGAGTTAAACTTCAAATTGTACTTAATAGAGGCACTAAGTTTGGTTCGATATAACCGTAGTTACGTATATGCATTTCGACTAATATACACAGCAAAAGTCTGGGCAAAACAGGTCAGTTCGTTATATGAATGGTAGTTAAAAACGCGCGTGATACTTAATACCGCCATCAGTACTTGACTGGTATTGGTACCTCAATACTACCAATACCTACATCACTAGTATTTCTATACTACACCAATGATACGACCAGTACTAGAAAGCGGTACTTTCATACCACAACCATTACTCGAATGGTACTGGGGTACCTCAATACTGTCAATACCTACACCACTAGTATTTCTATACTACACCAATGATACGACCAGTACTCGAAAGCGGTACTTTCATACCACCACCATTACTCGAATGGTACTGGGGTACCTCAATACTGTCAATACTTACACCACTAGTATTTCTATACTACACCAATACAGCAATGATACCACCAGTACTCGAAAGCGGTACTTTAATACCACCACCATTACTCGAATGGTACTAGAAATCACAGTGTTAAAGTATCTTTGTAAAATATAACTCTTAAAATGGAACGTATAATTTGTACTTTCTTTCCTGCACAAGTACACAAATGTAAATTTAGAAATAGAACTTGAAAGCCACCAAGAGTACATATACAGTAGTATTTAACAACTGGTCACGTTACAGTTCAGTGTCCCCACTATAGTACTCACGGAAATAGAAATAAAATGGTCTAGGCGTTTATTTCGTAGTTTTGAACACAACTAAAGTTTGACTGCTAAATATTCTATTACTATCCTTTTTCCCAACTTCTGTTTATAACACTTTTTGTAATACCATCCGAAATAGATGAGTTTACAGAAGAGCAAATCGTGTCATTTGTCACCCTTTGAAATTTCATCAGAGTCAAAATGTACGTTTCTGATACAAGCTATAGTATGCAATTGAGATGTACTCCGTAGGTTCGCGTACATTATATATTTTATGAAAACCGCTATATACCATTCATCCTTTATTTCTTCTATCCATATTTATAGATATGAAATAATTCATTTAGGGATTTTCTCAGTACATTTATCATTCCTGTACTCTTGTTGAACGTTTACTGTTATAGGAGTTCATTCATAGCTTTGATTGTCAATTACAAAATCGCTATGGCAACGCACGTGCAAATGCATCTTCTTGCTGCAGGGAGTTGTTACCACTCATTGTTGATTATGACGTAAGTTATAACATGTTTCTAAAGTTGTTGATCATAAGAATGTTTTTGTTATTTTTACCTGTAAAATGGTATTTTGGATGATGATTTACCTAGTTGATAAAAACAGTTATTTTAATATTTGTTATAACTATCTGTTTTAATGAAGTGATAAACCAATAAACGCCCCAAACCATTTTATTTCTATTTCTGTCAGTACTTTCGCACATGCATTCTGTTTTGCAACTTTTGTTTTTACCACGAGTACACGTTCTTAGTGATTCCAGTTGTATTTGTATGTTGGCGTCAATATCCTGATATAGCTTCTTGGATCGTTCATCTAACACTTATCAATACTGACAGTTTGAAATATTCGTGACATGTTGGAAATAACATTTTGATCCGAAAACCATATCTGTTTCAGACATTTTCTCAGACGTTCATAAAGGACGACCACTTCCTGTCTCTGGCTGGGTCAATCAGTTCAGTCTTAAATGCTCTGGGTCGACCGTTCTGGGGTGCCGTGGGTGACAGGCTTGGATATAGGGTATGTGCAGAAGTATCTGTACGGGTGTTTTAGAGAGTGTGAAGAGGTTTTAAGGATTCAATTAGATGCCTCAGTCTTGGAGTGTGGGTTCGAATCCTAGATGAGACCCAAATAGTACTAGAATCTGTCCTTAAAGTGTAACCTTTTCAGTAATCATTGCAAATGACTAAATCCGCACTGCATTTTCATGATATACGCTCATACCATCTTATAATCTTTGATTTTTATATGGCGATTCTTTCGTTATTATCTGTGTCTGTGCAATGATGACTGGTGACTGAAGAATATTTTGTTCAAGTTGGTGGCTATTCAAACAATTCTCAATGCCCACGAAAGTATGGCAATGAAACAGAGTCGGAAAGTCTAGAGAGTCCGGGTCCGAATGTCTAGTCAGGTCGTCGAATGTCCAGATTGTCCGAGTCCGAATGTCTAGAGAGTCGAATGTCTAGGTCGTGTCTAGAGCGTCAAGGTCCGAATGTCTAGAGTGTCCGAGTCGAATGTCTAGAGCGTCCCCGTGTCGAATGTCTAGAGAGTCCGAGTCGAATGTCTAGAGTGTCCGTGTCCAGAATGTCTAGAGCGTCCGTGTCCGAATGGCTTCCAGGGTCCGAATGTCTAGAGTCCAGAGTCGAATGTCCAGATTGTCCAAGTCCGAATGTCTTGTCCAGAGTCCGAATGTCTAGGAGAGTCCGAGTCCGAATGTCTAGAGTGTCCATGTCCGAATGTCTAGAGTGTCCGTCCGAGTCCGTGTCTAGAGTGTCCGGGGTCCTAATGTCTAGGCGTCCGGGTCGAATGTCTAGAGTGTCCGAGGTCGAATGTCTAGAGTGTCCGAGTCCGAATGTCTAGAGAGTCCGAGTCAGATGATGTCTAGAGTGTCCGTGTCCAAATGTCAAGAGCGTCCGTGTCCGAATGTCTAGGCTTCAAGGGTCGAGATGTCTAGAGAGTCCGAGTCCGAATGTCTAGATTGTCCGAGTCGAATGTCTAGAGTCCAAGTCCGAATGTCTAGAGTGTTCGAGTCCGAATGTCTAAAGTGTCCGAGTCCGAATGTCTAGAGTGTCCGAGTCCGAATGTCTGGAGCGTCAGAGTCCGAATTTCTTGAGTGTCAGGGTCCTAATGACCAGAGCGTCCGAGTCGAATGTCTAAAGTCGTCAGAGTCCGAATGTCTAGAGTCCGAGTCCTAATGTCTAGAGTCCGAGTCCGAATGTCTAGAGTGTCCGAGTCCGAATGTCTAGAGTGTCCGAGTCCGAATGTCTAGAGAGTCCGAGTCCGAATGTCTAGAGAGTCCGAGTCCGAATGTCTAGAGTGTCCGAGTCCGAATGTCTAGAGTCCGAGTCCGAATGTCTAGAGTGTCAGGGTCCTAATGTCTAGAGTGTCCGAGTCCGATTGTCCAGATTGTCCGAGTCCGAATGTCTAGAGAGTCCGAGTCCGAATGTCTAGAGTGTCAAGGTCCGAATGTCTAGAGGGTCCGAGTCCGAATGTCCAGATTGTCCGAGTCCTAATGTCTAGAGAGTCCGAGTCCGAATGTCTAGAGTGTCCGTGTCCGAATGTCTAGAGCGTCCGTGTCCGAATGTCTAGAGCGTCAAGGTCCGAATGTCTAGAGCGTCTGAGTCCGAATGTCTAGAGCGTCAAGGTCCGAATGTCTAGAGCGTCAAGGTCCGAATGTCTAGGGCGTCCGAGTCCGAATGTCTAGAGAGTCCGAGTCCGAATGTCTGGAGCGTCAGAGTCCGAATTTCTTGAGTGTCAGGGTCCTAATGACCAGAGCGTCAGAGTCCGAATGTCTAAAGAGTCGTCAGAGTCCGAATGTATATAGAGTCCGAGTCCTAATGTCTAGGGTGTCAGAGTCCGAATGTCTAGAGCGTCCGAGTCCGAATGTCTAAAGAGTCCGAGTCCGAATGTCTAGAGCGTCCTAGTCCGAATGTCTAAAGAGTCCGAGTCCGAATGTCTAGAGCGTCCGAGTCCGAATGTCTAAAGAGTCCGAGTCCGAATGTCTAGAGTCGTCCGAGTCTGAATGTCTAAAGAGTCCGAGTCCGAATGTCTAGAGCGTCAGAGTCCGAATGTCTAAAGCGTCCGAGTCCGACTGTCTAAAGAGTCCGAGTCCGAATGTCTACAGAGTCCGAGTCCGAATGTCTAGAGTGTCCGAGTCCGAATGTCTAAAGAGTCCGAGTCCGAATGTCTAGAGCGTCCGTGTCCGAATTGCTTCAGTGCCCGAGTCGGAATGTCTAGAGTGTCCGAGTCCGAATGTCTAGAGAGTCCGAGTCCGAATGTCTAGAGTGTCCGTGTCCTAATGTCTAGAGCGTCCGAGTCCTAATGTCTAGGGTGTCAGGGTTCTAATGTCTAGAGAGTCCGGACCCGAATGTCTAGAGTGTCCGTGTCCGAATGTCTAGAGCGTCCGAGTCCTAATGTCTAGGGTGTCAGGGTCCTAATGTCTAGAGAGTCCGGACCCGAATGTCTAGAGCGTCCGTGTCCGAATGTCTAGAGCGTCCGAGTCCGATGTCTAGAGCGTCGTCCGTGTCCGAATGTCTAGAGGGTCCGAGTCCTAATGTCTAGAGCGTCCGTGTCCTAATGTCTAGAGGGTCCGAGTCCTAATGTCTAGAGAGTCCGTGTCCGAATGTCTAGAGCGTCCGTGTCCGAATGTCTAGAGCGTCAAGGTCCGAATGTCTAGAGGGTCCGAGTCCTAATGTCTAGAGGGTCCGAGTCCTAATGTCTAGAGGGTCCGAGTCCTAATGTCTGGAGGGTCCGAGTCCTAATGTCTAGAGCGTCCGTGTCCGAATGTCTAGAGCGTCCGTGTCCTAATGTCTAGAGGGTCCGAGTCCTAATGTCTAGAGGGTCCGAGTCCTAATGTCTAGAGAGTCCGTGTCCGAATGTCTAGAGAGTCCGTGTCCGAATGTCTAGAGCGTCAGGGTCCTAATGTCTAGTGCGTCCGAGTCCTCATGTCTAGAGCGTCCGAGTCCTAATGTCTAGAGCGTCCGAGTCCTCATGTCTAGAGGGTCCGAGTCCTAATGTCTAGAGCGTCCGTGTCCGAATGTCTAGAGCGTCCGTGTCCTAATGTCTAGAGTCCTAATGTCTAGAGGGTCCGAGTCCTAATGTCTAGAGAGTCCGTGTCCGAATGTCTAGAGAGTCCGTGTCCGAATGTCTAGAGCGTCAGGGTCCTAATGTTCTAGCGTCCGAGTCCTCATGTCTAGAGCGTCCGAGTCCTCATGTCTAGAGCGTCCGAGTCCTCATGTCTGGAGCGTATGGCTGCCGTTACAGGTGAATAGATGAAGATGCTCGATAAAGGTGGAGATGAAGAAACAAGATATACCTACATGGTCCTGCGTGGAATACGTTTTGACATAGTTTAAAACAGGAACCAATTGAACTGGCTCTTAGCTTGCTCTTCTTCTGATTTGGCTTCTGGGTTTTATGAAACAGCCATCCCAAACTTTTAATCAGTGGGATGTGTACTAAATGTTTCTCTTGAGCTGGTATTCCTGTGCTATTGCTTTGCGATGAAAAGCATACTGAAGAATTGAAAACACCTGTAATGACGTCATGTGTCACCCAAATAGGAAACCCTCGTCATAGTCTGCATCATACTGGGAAGTGCATCGGCGACCTTCACCTTGTGCGAGTATGGCGGCAAGGTGATGCTGATCATCTGGATGTGTCTGATCTATGGGACGTTCTCCGGCTTCTTCTGCATCATGCCTTCCCTCAACGTCTCCATATTTGGACACAAGTACTACAGCTCAAACTACGGCCTGTTAATGTCGGCTATGGTAAGTACGTTCAATCAGTTGGACATATACTGCGGACAAAGGAAACGCTACTTCACCTCACGGTAAATTCATCCGTGAAGATCCGGGTCAGAACTGATCTTCAGTAACCAATGCTTGTCGTAAGAGGCGACTAACGGGATCGGATGGTCAGGCGCACTGACTTGGTTGACACATGTCATCGTATCAATGTTCATGCTGTTGATCACTTGATTGTCTGGTCCAGACTCGATTATTTACAGACCGATGTCATATAGCTGGAATATTTCTGAATGCGGCATAAAACTAAACTCACTCACGGTAAATTCAATACCGTTCTTTCGATCAAAGTCAAGTTCCATTTCCTTTTTCAAGCATGTGACATGTGACAGGATATGTGTCTGCCGGTCTTATAGCACAATGTGTGAAGCCCATTTCCGGTGTCCCCGCCGTAATATTGTTCGAATATTGCTCACTTAATTTGCTGACTGTGATCATATTATCTTCAATGCCAAATGTCATGAAGAGAAAGAGGAAGTATCATATGTTATCGTTCTCTGATATTGAGGCTCGAACCACTCACCTTCCGCTCACCGGGCAGACACTGTCCACTAGGCCACGTAGGTGGTCAATCAAACCATGGAGTTTTATAGGAATTGAAGCAATTTTGCAGCTAATAAAGTGAATGATCTTCATGCTAACTCAGGCGAAGAGACAGCCCCGTCTGTGTTGTCTTACACTGCATGTCGGCCGAAACAGTGGGCAAAATCACGGCGGAGGACACCAGAAATGGGCTTCACACATTGTACCCATGTGGGGAATCGAACCTTGGATTTGTAATTTTTTAAAATCTTTTTATTCATCCCTTGGCACATACATGTACAAACAGTGAATATGAATATACTACACATTAATATATTGGGAATAGTTGTACATATTCAAATAGCAATGATTCTAATGTGTGTCAAGTATGTGCACTAAAGCATCCATTTTCTGTAGAAGCTGGAAACTGTTGAAGGTCTGGCATTTACATGTACAGACAGTGAATATGGTACACATTAATATCTTGGTAATATTTGTACATATTCAAATTGGAATAATAATGAGGTGAGTCATCTATGTGCTCTAAAGGCTTTGGATTTGTATTTTGGAAAAGGAATTGTACAGATTGTGGTGATTCTGTGTTCCGAGACAAGGCTTCGGCTTGGTCAGGTTTGATCAAACAAGGAGTATCTGTTCTAAACGAACGCATGATCCATAGTGCCACTTCGGCGCTCATCGTTCTTCCATCATCCCAATTTACAACCATTCTGTTTGACAGCAGTATTACATACTTTCATGCTATTTAATTCTTCTTGCTATAACAGATCGTCATTCAAATTGTCGGAGGTCTGCTGACATCCCAGCTGAAGGACACCATCGGGTGGAAAGGCATCCTGTACATAGGAGCAGGAGGGGTGATATTAAGTAAGTAAATAACCCACAGCTCACTCATAGTAATAATAAAGGAGAGACTGGGTGAATGTTGTTAAAAGCTAAACGCAACAACACTTCAGGTTGAGCTTGACAGTAAGCACATGTACACCGCTTCTAGCAATATTCCAGCTATATCGCGGTCGGGGACACCAGAAATGGACTTCACACATTGAATCGAACCCGGGCCTTCGGAAAGAAGACCGAACGCTTTAACCACCTGGCTACCCCACCGCCCCTCGGGTGACCATGACATCAGCAGGATGGCATTACTTGAATGGTCTTCAGTACCCATGCTTGTCGTTAGAGGCGACAAAGGGGTCGGGAGGCCAGGCTCGCTGACTTGGTTGACACATGTAATCGTATCCCAATTGCGTAGATCTATCTTAGGGGTGGGTATTGCAGAGAATTTTCATATTGCAATATATTGCAAAGATTATTTTTTTTAACAAAAACTACTTATAATCGAGTTAATGCTTGATTATAAAGCAAAAACACAACAAAATCACTATGATTGATTAACATTTTATAAAAACTTTTAATCATGACAAAATGAAAATGTAAGTAACATTTGGCACTAATGAAACAGGGAAAAGAACAATTCAAAAAACGGAAATATCCGAAGATTTCCGAGTGTTACGAAGTTTTCCGAATGCATGTCAAAATACCGGTTTTCGATCAGCGTATCGCAATACGTATCGTTTTCATGTCTGAACCGGTAAATACCGGTAAACCGGCTATATTGCGCAACCCTAATCTATGTTCATGATGTTGATCACTGGAGCGCGGCGCTAACCAACAAACCAACCAGCCAACTCAGCTAAACTTGTTAGGTTGTGGTTTTGAATTGAACACAGTCAGTGAAGACACTGAAGTAACTGGTGTGACTGGTTGCTGAAGTAATGAACATTCCTGGTACCTGATTCACGGACAACAGGATGCAACACGGGACAGACGACAGGGTACAACACGAGACAGACGACACGGTACAACACCAGACAGACGACAGGTTATAACACCAGACAGACAACACGGGACAGACGACAGGGTACAACACGGGACAGACGAAAGGGTACACCACGAGACAGACGACAGGGTACAACACGAGACAGACGACAGGGTACAACACCAGACAGACGACAGGGTACAACACCAGACAGACGACAGGGTACAACACCAGACAGACAGGGTACAGACGACGACAGGGTACAACACGAGACAGACGACAGGGTACAACACCAGACAGACGACAGGGTACAACACACGACAGGGTACAACACGAGACAGACGACAGGGTACAACACCAGACAGACGACAGGGTACAACACGAGACAGACGACAGGGTACAACACCAGACAGACGACAGGGTACAACACCAGACAGACGACAGGGTACAACACCAGACAGACAACAGGGTACAACACGAGACAGACGACAGGGGTACAACACCAGACAGACAACAGGGTACAACACCAGACAGACAGACGAGACAGACGACAGGGTACAACACGAGACAGACGACAGGGTACAACACGAGACAGACGACAGGGTACAACACCAGACAGACGACAGGGTACAACACGAGACAGACGACAGGGTACAACACCAGACAGACGACAGGGTACAACACGAGACAGACGAAAGGGTACAACACGAGACAGACGACAGGGTACAACACGAGACAGACGACAGGGTACAACACGAGACAGACGAACAGGGTACAACACCACAGACAACAGGGTACAACACCAGACAGACGACAGGGTACAACACCAGACAGACGACAGGGTACAACACCAGACAGACGACAGGGTACAACACCAGACAGACGACAGGGTACAACACGAGACAGACGACAGGGTACAACACCAGACAGACGACAGGGTACAACACGAGACAGACGACAGGGTACAACACGAGACAGACGACAGGGTACAGAGACAGGGTACAACACCAGACAGACGACAGGGTACAACACCAGACAGACGACAGGGTACAACACCAGACAGACGACAGGGTACAACACCAGACAGACGACAGGGTACAACACCAGACAGACGAAAGGGTACAACACCAGACAGACGACAGGGTACAACACCAGACAGACGACAGGGTACAACACCAGACAGACGACAGGGTACAACACCAGACAGACGACAGGGTACAACACCAGACAGACGACAGGGTACAACACCAGACAGACGACAGGGTACAACACGAGACAGACGACAGGGTACAACACCAGACAGACGACAGGTACAACAGACAGACCAGACAGACACACCACACAGACAGACGACAGGGTACAACACCAGACAGACGACAGGGTACAACACCAGACAGACGACAACACCCAGACAGACGACAGGGTACAACACCAGACAGACAGGGTACAACACGAGACAGACGACAGGGTACAACACCAGACAGACGACAGGGTACAACACGAGACAGACGACAGGGTACAACACCAGACAGACGACAGGGTACAACACGAGACAGACGACAGGGTACAACACCAGACAGACGACAGGGTACAACACGAGACAGACGACAGGGTACAACACCAGGGTACAACACACGACAGACAGACGACAGGGTACAACACCAGACAGACAACAGGGTACAACACGACAGACAACAGGGTACAACACCAGACGACAGACACCAGACAGACAGGGTAGACGACAGGGTACAACACCAGACAGACGACAGTGTACAACACCAGACAGACCAGACAGATGACAGGGTACAACACCAGACAGACCAGACAGACGACAGGGTACAACACCAGACAGACCAGACAGACGACAGGGTACAACACCAGACAGACGACAGGTGGTATTTGTGAAGTGAGGAACATTTCACCTGGGTAACTGACTAGAACTCACATACAAACAGAATACAACGGACGACGGGACATATCAGACGGACTATAGGTTACTGCTACTTCCTACAAAACTCATAATACATATGTAATATATGGGCGGTGGGGTAGCCTAGTGGTTAAAGCGTTCACTGGTAACGCTGAAGACCCGGGTTCGATTCCCCACATGGGTACAATGTGTGAAGCCCATTTCTTGTGTCCCCCGCCGTGATATTGCTGGAATATTGCTGAAACTAAACTCACTCACCCTACATGTAGGTCGTTGGTATATCTCGTAATCTCACACGGTACGATATTATATGCGTGGGAAGAATCGGCACTTCAATCGTTGGCTCGGTAAAAAGACTTGGTTCTGTCTCTAGATTCTTGATGCTGTCACTGGAGGTTACACACCCTCGTCAGACAGCTGCATCATGTATGCACAGTTTGATTCAAACATTTTATTGGTTATAATACATAAGTAATAATCTTATTCCAGGTATGTTTCTGTCGGCTGGGATGATGATTCATCACCGTCGACAACGGAAGAAGCACCGGATGTGACCAAAACTACTTCCGGTTGAAAATAGTTAATCAGATGTACGTCTGTTCATGCCGTGACGTCACCATTCAGCTGCCCGATTGTACAAACACGTACATACACGTGACAACTGTCTCAATTGGACTCACGTATGATGTTTTCGGAACCGATTCTGAAAGAATTAACAAACATCGAAAAGGTTTCTTTATTACTCGCCTGTTGAATATATCACTGTTTAATAAATCCACAACATTGTGTAATAACATCGCGTGCTGCCGGAACTATTTGCACTGGGTCACATGACCAAAGTAACGTGATCAAAACAAAATGTCGGCTGTCATTCACAACACATCGCGAATGAAGTCGCGATATTCAACTGTTCTTTGCTACCGTTGCGTTTAACAGCATTTGTATAAAACAATATTATGTTGGTTGAAGTCATGTGGTCCCTTTTTCATACCCCCTGGTGTATTTTTAAATAGGCTAATGTTGACAATCATTTATGAAATGTATTCATACACGTGACCCTCTGTTATGCCAGCGTAATGCACTCGTTCTGTAAGTTGAATTCTGAGATATTATTTGCTAATGTTGGATGAGTAATAAATAAAAATACTAAACGATGTCTTTCGTTTCATAAATATACGGTATTACACGGGACATCGTTTAGTATTCTCTATACACGCAACGGTTCTCTTATGGCAAGGGCAGGTAACTCTAACCAAATACAAAACCCACGAGTGGGTTCATGGCAATATGTAATTTAATGTTGTCAGAGACCATATTATATGGTCTCTGCTGTTATGCCAATAAAAGCTTCAACCACAATCTCAGAAGTACAGTGCTTCAAGTTGGGACCAAGCTTCAACGGCCAGCTCACCGCCTATGTGGTTAGAGCGTCCGCCCGGAGAGCGGAAGGTCGCGGGTTCGATCCCCGGACGCGTCATACCAAAAGACGTTAAAATATGGTACTTGTTGGTCCCTGCCTGGTGCTCGGTATTAATGGGTACAATAAGGACTGGTCGGCTAGGAGTCAGTATAATGTGTCTGAGTGGGGTATTCATTAGTGGTGTAACGATTCATCGATAGTATCGATGTTTACATCGTCAACTACGCGATACGAGTGCATCGATACAAAACACATTTAGGCAATATATCAGGATATTTATATCGCGAGGGTCCATGATACATCGATGTATCGTCACAACAAACCGAAACATGAGTCTTATTAACCTATTCAGACAATGACCTACTTTTCAGCAGATCCGAATTTTCTCGTGTGATAGTGAAAATACACATCACAAACAGCTATGGTTACACTGAATTCCAAGTCCTTGTTTCATCAGAAAATGGCATTTACAAATGAATTTTAATTTTAAACTTTAATAACATCGTATTTCTATATTTTATGGCGAGGTGTAGGCAGCATGACCTCAACTAAGACGTCACAGACTGCCCCAGTTTGAGGAGGTCGTAAAATGATTCACAATGCATCTGGCTCACTGGTTACACCTGTTGTGTGTTTTGTGCGCTTATTCAGTGTAGTTCTGAACGCACAATGTGATTGATACAATATCAAGTCCGTACCAAACCGCCAAACCTTTCTAGCGGCAGAGCCTCGTTTTGAGATTTCCACTATTTCCAGGTTTCTGTTTGTCAGTGTTCGCAGTACGAGTTGAGTTGAGTTGAGTTGGGCTATACGTCACATCGGCACTATTCCAGCCATATAGTGACGAGAACAAGTCTGCATTAATAAACATTGTAAGTACAGAGTCAAAATGAGTTTTATATCAAAAACATATATTCATTACATTGTCATTTAAAATCAGAAAAAGTCATAGCACTAAATTTAAAGGCAGGCAATTTGTTAGTCACATTACACAGTTACAATTTATGATACAGATCAACTTCCCTCAGGTAGTTCACTATCAGATGAGCGCTCACGCGGGAGAACAGATCTTTTTGCATCAGGTCTGTTGCAGACGACGTGGTGAAAACCTCATCGCAGACGACAGGTCCATACATCCGTCAAGCAGAATATGCTTGATGGTGAAATCCTCATCTCAAGAGACACAATTCATACAGTTTATTTCTTCCTACTTGAGTGTCCCACCTTTTTCGCATGAGGTCCCGAGTATAGCTTTTGATAGTTGGTTTGAAATCACTGTATAGGATCAGCAGTGGAGATAAGGGCTTGTCAAGAGCTGCTTTTGCTGCAGCATCGGCTTTTGTGTTACCTGCTATGCCGACGTGATCCTGCAACCAGCAGAGCACGATGTCACATTGGCCAGTAGAGAGGTTCGTTGTAAAGTTCTAAAATGTCCAGAATGATTGGGTGACTTGAAGTGACCTTTTGAAGTGCTTGAAGGCAAGATAATGAATCTGTGAAAACGATGAAGTTTTTGGAATGATTCTGCTGTTTAATATAGGTCAAAGCTGAAAAGATAGCTTTGGCCTCGGCAGTGAAAATGGAACTATTGTCGGGAATCCTAGAGGAGACAGTCTTGGATCCAATGACTGTAGCACTGGCAACTTGGCCCTCATCCTTGGATCCGTCTGTGAAAATGGATCTATGGGTGTCATACTTGGAACGTAACTGGTTGTATTCCTGCTGGAACACCAAAGGATTTGTTTCGGACTTTTTGAGTTTAGTGAGGGTAAGATCGACCTGCCAGGGTGGTGAAGACAGGAGTCGGTAAGGTGCTATGATATTGAGATCAATGAATTCTGATTCCAAGTGGTGGAACCAGGCTTGGCAGTTTAGGAAACAGGTTTTACTAGAGAGGGTTGAAAACACAATTGTATGCTGGATTGGACTGATTTGAACGTAATTTAGTGATATATTGCAGTGAAAGTTTAATGCGGCGTTGTTCAAGGGCAGGTTCGTTAGCCTCTGCACGACATGTTTGCAAGGATTATAAGGAGCGTAGTGTTGCAATATACAAGTGCTTAGATGTATCAAATAATACTGATTAATATTTATGTATCCAGTTAAATGAATTGGTCTCAAAATTCTGGACTGCTTATTGTACTCAGTTGCGCAATAGGACGGATCCCGGTCAACAAGAAACGAGACTGTTGTGTATTCAATGCTTTGACTTGAGACGATATATCCCGATACAACTTAAATACTACTTAAAGTTGTAAGGAGTATTGCATTAGGAATAAGAAAGGAGTCTCTTTGAAATTCTTCTGAATTTTAAAAACAAATTGAACTTTAAAGGAATTTGTTTGTGTCTGTTATCTTTGTTACATGAACAAAGGAGTTGGTGTATAAGTCACAGAGTGTGAACATTTTACAAAGTCTGTGAACTGAGAATAATTGTCTTCAAGTAATTGAAATATGCAGATATGTTTGAGTTGTTTGACAAATAACACTATTTATTTACAACTATGAACGATGTCTTAGCGTTGTTAAGAAAGAGAACAAAGAGAAGATAAAATTTATAAAGCAGACTTAAGTGATTCTGAATGCTGATATAAATTACATTGAGTTGTTTGTGAAAGCATTGGTGTAGAAACACAACTTACCAAGTGAAGCTTCACTTTCAGATTTATATATATTAGATCAAGGTTATACTGAATATGTTTGACTTTCTTAAGCATTAACTGCTGAAACTTTATTAGATGAACAGCTTTTTAAGTGTGTGTGAATGTAACACAAGTTCTGCTATATATCATAACGTTTCAGTCAATTTATCTGTCATATCTGTTCTGTTATTAGAAACTGTAAAGTATCGGGATACGTATCGTATCGCCACCATTGCATGGTGATGATAATCGTTTCGCAGGTTCCTTGCCAATACTTTCATGATATATCGTCTCACCTCGTTAAACTGGTATCGGGATATATCGTCTCGCCACTTAGGCCACGATACACAGCTCTAGTATTCATGCTCAACTGCGGCATGGTATCTCAGTGAGCTAGTACTATAAAACCAGCTTAAGTCTGGGCTAGTACAAGCAGCCACACACACTGGCTGTAGAACAGCATGAACATTTGATTGAATATAGATATTTTATAACATATTTATGTACATATATTCAGGTTCCCTCAATCTGTTGGGCTATTGCTTTCTATTCAAAGGGTACTTCGTGTTTCACACGTCCTTCATGCGATTGACCATGAAGTCACTTTTCTTTCTGCCCAAGGGACCGTTCATAATTTATGGCAGTGTGTGTGTGTGTGTGTGTGTGTGTGTGTGTGTGTGTGTGTGTGTTTTGATGACGATTTTTGTGGGGAATCATGTACAATGTGAATGACACCCCCAACCCCCCAACCCCTGCATATCATGTACAAAATCAATGACAACACTTCCCATCATTTTTAGGCAATTTTTTTGTCGGAAGGCGGACGTAAAATCACCAAAACCATCCCGCAAGATCGTCAAAAACACGGTTGCAGCCATGAGAGCCGTTATGTAAACAAACGCACAAACGTTTATTTGAATCTGTTACCGTTCATGGCATTATTCTTATTAAAAATCTTCACATTAAGCAAAACAATTCTGACGCACTTGGCAGTCCAGGACGCCTGCCAATCTTCAATCTGGACACCACGTATCCCTAAATTCAGTTTCAGTAAACTTAGGCTCAGTATTATTCGTTACATTTCTATACTGAGTCTAACAAAACATTGTAGAAGGTCGCGTCAGCTAACCTTTTGGACTTACCAATCAGAACACAGCTTACCAAATCGCGAACGTTAACATTCGCTTTTTTCCGCACGATCGCTTCCGAGTGATACACGCAATGAGTAAACAGTCGCAGAAAATAGCGTATTTGTCAATATTATAAGTTATCACATCGTGTCGAGGGAAATACGGGGGTTTATCAGTCCCGAGTTAGGTTGTATTCCCCGGGCCGGAGGCGAGGGGAATACAACCTTACGAGGGACTGACAAAACCCCGTATTTCCCGAGACACGATGTGATAACGCATTTATCTAGCCGAATGTTTTTACTAAATCAAAAGAAAACAATACGCATCAATTTCATTCTCAGTTGTTGTGGCAAAACGTTTCCTTGCTGCCATGTTGACACCAGCTGATCGATTGACCTCAATGCAGCGCACGTTACTAAAGGCTTGGCGATGCACGCTTTTCTCACTTCGCGTGGTCACCGAGGCGTGGCGGGATAATATGACTTTTGTACTCCCTGCTCGCGGATCGTGACGGGTTTACATGGTTTTATCAGAGTCACGTGAACCAATCAAAACTCGACATTCTTACATGAGGCTGGATAATCAAGGCTGTCATCTTGCGAAAATATAAGCAAATAGTAACCATGTCATTAGACACCCATATGCGTATATACTGCAGGTCAAATATCTGTGTTTTATGCGGATTTTCGTTTGTTGATAGATCAGTGTCAGCGACCAGGGAAGAGAAAATCCCAAAACCGTTTTGTAAGTCCCGCCGAACCCTAACAAGTAGTCGTTGTCTGATTGGTTATATCCGTTCGGTCGTCTCGCGTTTGATTGGACGGTCATAGGTCGCTCAAAGGTTAGCTGACGCGACCTTCTACTAGGTTTTGTTAGAGTCAGTATAGCAGTGTAACGAATAATGCTGTTGATCAATTTTAAAACTCTTGGTCTTAAATTTAATTAAAATGTCAACATGTGGTCATGCGACTGATCATGAAGGGCCACCCGACACGTCAGCAGTAAACACTTACCTAAAGAACCCTCGGGTGTAGTCAAAAGTTTTACTGTCCAGAGAGACAACTTCCGGTTCAGCATGGAAAGGACCGTTCGTAACTACTCGTGTCATTCCGGCAAGCCGGATGGCGTCTCGTACCCTTTCTCGTGGCCATGTTTACGACTGGGCCCTGTCTAAGCGCAAACGGGCATGGAGATGAAAATAGTCTAGTACTATTGCCAAGGAAAGATAACTCTGAATTTCCAAACATGGCTCCTAGAATATCCCATATCCCGTGGGCAAAACAGCGATACAGTCATTCCCTTTGTAAATATATTTCAGTGTTTAAAGTTTCTGATCCTTTAGCTCAAAGTTTCTGTTTAAAGTGTGCTTTGCATAGTTTAGCGAAGTTTCAAACTTCAACGGTGCCGCCAACATGCTTCGAAATGCGTTTTACTACGCGCGATTTGATTGGTTTGCCACGATTCTTGGCAATAATGGCGTACGATAGGGGTACGAGTCTTCTTGTAGGTCACGGAAAGAGGCGAGTAGTTACGAATGGGAAAGGACCTCACCCACGTGATCGCCACAGGTTTAGTGATGAATCGGGAAATCTCACCCGCCGCATTTTTGGTGGTCAGACTTCCTGCTACGACACAATGTCACTGTGATTAAGGTTTTATTTGTTTGATATTATTTCCCGTGTTGTAAGTCTGTCAGTCAATGTTTGCCCTTAACCCTTGAAAAGCTGCAGGCCTTGCGGACAGTGTATGCAATACTTGTATTTGCCAGTTGGCCAGCAGGCGGCAGCAGGCTTAAAAATCTACAGGCCCCGAATGCAATCTGCAGGCCCATTTTGTTAAAGTCAAACCAATAACAAAAAAAACTACACTGTTCTACAAAAGCAATTAGCGAAGCCTATGGCGCAGAGAGAAGTTTTGATTTGTTAAAGACTGGTGTTGACATTCCTATGCACAAAGCGCTGAAATACCAGGAAGTGAAACTGTAAGTTATCGTAACATGATGGATCATGGATGATTCCTGAACATCAATACAGAAAGAAATTATGGGAAAGATTTCAGTTGAGGAAACAAATTACAGATAACTTTACTGAAGGCGACAAGGGCCTGCAAATATTTGAAACTGCCGGTCCGAGACAATAACAACCGGCGCTGGGGTTCGGGCCGGCGATTATTTCGAACGCTGCTTGCGGACCCAGAACCATAAAAAGTTGTTGATCCTCATAAGAATGTGTGTAGGCCCTATACTTTAGCTACAATATAAGTAATTCCCAGCAAACCAAAATTGTGACCACTAACAGACTGAGTTAAAGAGTTTAATTTAACTCTAGTGACGGACTTGTCTTCATTTACAACAAAATCAACATCCATGTCAAGTTTCAAGTCTTCTTCGAAAATGTTAGTCGTTTCACTTACAAACAACAGCTGCTGATCGAGATAAAAACTAGACATTAGTTCAAATTACTTAATGATATTTTCTGAAAAAATAATACTCTTTGTTATTGGGGATGAAAAAGCTGTCGGCCATAAGGACCCGCAGCATACAAAAGCTGTGGGGCGGAGTGGTTTTCAATCGGCTTCGGACCTAAGGACCGACGTTAATTTCGTACTCTGCTGTCAGTGTAAACGCCAAGATACATCCATCTTGTGAAACGGTGTACATTCTTCTGGGTTACAAAGAAATTAAGAAATGATACTCACCGTGTTTGAGACCATCCTTATTGATTTGTCGTAACTGATTAGCTGCTCAAGGTTGACGGCCTCATTCACTAATGTCAGGAAGACGTAGATTATCCCTGCTAATGTATAACAAATGAATCTCAATTACGATCCACTGTCAAAAAGCACCTGTCAAACCCAGTTTGTTGCAAAAAGCGACCGACTGGATCATGCGGTCATCAGATGGTCTATTGTGAGACATTGTTGCCCGATGGAGTATGGTCTTGCTCATATTGTCAATCCCATATTGTGAATTACCAGTACAGTGACAGATTGTTACGTTGCACGAAAAAGGCAGTTGAGTATATTTTACGCTTGCTTCGATGTCTTCGATGAAGGTTCAGGGGAGGCAACTCTAAAATGCTTGTCAGGGACATTCTTCCCGTGCAACGACGTCGCCAATAAAAGGGCTGAGTAAAACCAGCATTAGCCTATCAAAATCAATCCTGCTGTACGTTACATTTTCACAAGGGGTCCATAACTTAATTGGCTTAAGATTCTGCTGAAGCCTACCATTAAGGTACCGGCCACTTTACCCCGAGTGCATATGACGTGGGTCATCAAACATATCTCCATGACAGGCTGGGAGGCTCAGAAATCAATGCATGGGACGGGTCATGATATGGATGTTTGATCTCATTACATGTTTACCACACTCTGAAAACTCTATCTATCCATCATGAAAATTACTTGGTAGAATTTCTTGCTATCAGGTCGGCTCAAGGGTTGGTGTGTTTGCTTTTCCAAATATACTGGTCCTTATGTGAGGGTGATGAGCCACACTTGGCATGCAGAATGCCTGTTAATTTGTCTTGGTATCCAATTTATGACATCTCTTTGCCAAATCAATGCAAATAGGTGATAGATATAAATAAGACTTGGGTTGGGTTTTTTTTTTAGATACATGAAATACATGCTCATTAGCTCAGAACTAAATAGTTTATTCATTTCACACTTTGCAAAAGAAAAAGATGACAAATAAATATATTTCAGGATTGAAATATTGGTATCCACTAAAAGATCAACATTTCGTGATATTTGGTGCACTGCATTTGGGGATTCAGGATACTGCTTGGGATCTGGAAATAGCTGGTTGGCATCCATATGTTTAACTCACGATATATGTACATGTTCTTTAAACTTCCAAGATTATATCATTTATTTAATGGAGCACGCCCTGTATTACCACTTAAAGCAGTTTCTGAGAGACTGACTGACTGAGTTTGGTTTTACGCCGCTTTTAGCAATATTCCAGCAACATCACGGCGGGGGACACCAGAAATGGGCTTCACACATTGTACCCATGTGGGGATTCGAACCCGGGTCTTCGGCGTGACGAGCCAACGCTTTAACCATTAGGCTACCCCATCGCCCCGTTTCTGAGAGAAATGAGATCTAGATTCAACACACTGAAAATGTTTTACCAGAGTTCTGCTCTACTCTAGATGTTACCAGGTTGAAGGTCTAAATTGAAGTCAGAGGTTGTTACTCAGATAAATACCATAGACATCCATCGACTGAACAGTATTCAGTGAAAATTGTGTACAGCTAAACATAACTGCATGTCAACATTTTTAAATCAGCTTTTATTTCTGTGAGCACTTGATAGGATTTCATGCTAATTTCAGCATGACAGGTCATGAGGACATAATGAGTCTGTGAACAACACAACATTTGTTGAGCTCATATTCCAGTAACCACCATCAGGCTGCTAATACAAGTCACCAGGATGAATGTAACCAAATATGTTTTTAAAATCAATGATTAATATTTTGTAACATTATGAACGGACACCCCACTTGAACTCTGTGAAGTTATTCCCATTAGATATTGTTGCTAGAGCGTTGTCATAAAGCAATACCAGTCAAATACTAATCTGTCTAAATAGGTCTTAAACTGCATGACAAAGAACCCTGTAAGGATAACTTCAGCAACATATTAGAGAACATCAACAATGATCTCCAGGTTTCACCCAGGGAACAGAATCAGGTCTCCAGTACAACAGGCAAACACCTCTATCACTAGGTTACCCCCTCTCCTCTGTCACTCAGGAACAGGTCATTGTGTAACAACCACGAAAGTCTGTGTTACTGAGGGACGAAAGCAGTGAGCAAATACAAGACTATTTGAAGAGGTCTAGAATCTTTTTAAAAAGGAGAGTGCGAAGTGAGTTGTACGCCGCTTTTAGCAGTATTCCAGCAATATCACGACAGTGAACACCAGAAATGGGCTTCACACATTGTACCCATGTGGGGAATCGAACCTGGGTCTTCAGCGTGACTAGCGGGCACCCTTAACCACTAGGCTACCCCACCACCCTGAGAGAGCGAAGTATCAATGTCACAAAAAGAACTGAGACAAAGACCAACAGTTTGACATTCAACTTTAAAAATAAAATGGTGTCTTCCATCACCAAAAACCCACTGCATTGAGATTAGACAATCAGGACAGAAGATGTTCAATATGTTCATTTGCTCTTTATTAATACACAAAATTTTACATAGCAAGATAGAAATTATATATGTATATTATATATAGTTTACAGGCAGTAGACCTGGCCATATGAAAGAGGCATGATTTACAATTGTATGGAGCAGAGCAGCAAGCTACAGTGTACATACATGCTAGAATAGATCTGTACATAGACAGTAGGCCTCAGAGTATTCCACAATAGGCTCAGTATCTTCTACTTTATCTCCCAAAGTATTCCACACTAAATTGTGTAATGGGAAGGAAAATTACAGCATTTCGAGGATGATCTAAAATCTGACAGAACACTATTCTGTCTGGTTATTGTTTAACCCTACAAAACAAACTTCCTAATTAAGATACAAAATGATGTGATACTTTAGCATCTTGTGTACAAAACCAATTCAGAATCATTTCATAAATACATTGATTACATGCCAACATATCGCTTTGGAGTGCACTGAATTTAAATAAAGTCTGTACAAGAAATGGCCAGGTTTCAAGTAACTGGATACACAATATCTCACTTGTTTTGATAGTCAAAGGCATATTTTCCCCAATCCCAACTGAAGTCTTATAATATACATAATGCAACACTGATTCTTAAACAAACAGAACAGGACTGACAAGTCCACTACCACAGCCATTGTTTAGGCTCCTGTAACAAGCTGGTAAAAATCGATCTCTCACATTAACCAGCTGGATCGCATGTCAAAACTAGCTTAGCAGTGGGATCAACAGCCTCAGCTCCTAAGGATTGTATTGCCTTGCTTAGTAAAGACTGTGGAGATGGTCATAATCATCAGGTTGAAATCTCTGGCAACACCAACAGCAGGGAAAGTAACAAATGGAATTTTGTGTTGTGACAAAACGACAAGTGTGTTACAGACATGTAGTAGCTTTGTACAGAAAGATTTTCATGACAATTCATTCACGGAAGGAGAACTGCCCTTCCTTCAGGGCACACTGAAGTGTCAGCTACAAAAAATTCATCACAGATATCATATACATAAAGCAACATTTATTTGGGTTCAGTCTGTCTGGTGACACATTGTGCACTGTTAGGGCTTAGTGTGGTGGTTTTTTGGATCTTAAGAGGATTTATGGGGAGACAACCCAGCATTTTTAGCTCAATTTTGGCAATGGCTATTCTGCTTCAATAACAATAAAAGGAGCTTTGTTAATTATTCCATATTCGTTCCTAAATGTCTTTCTCGGTTTGCCACATCAACCAACTTTGGCAAGCAAGTTCTTCTAAACTGAATCTGGTCACATAATCACATCCATTTGAGCTAAAAACACCCATCAAAGTTGAACAGATCAAGACTGAAACAATATCAAAGGCCGAGACAAGCAGTGCTAGAACACTCCAGAACACTGAAAAATATATATCGAAAAGAGGCAGTCTTCTTCATTTGACCCATACTACACCAAACTGTACAGGCAAAGTCAGACTCTGTAAAAGAGGTTTTTCAACAGTCAAGACAGCTTAAGCTTGAAATGATGTGCTGATGGTTGTTTTGGATGAGTCAAATGTCACTGTTGACACAGAACGGTGATTTAGTAGCAATTGGGTGCTGATGGAGTTTGGCGGTACAATAAAGAACTTTATGAATGACCATGCTATAGATCCCTAGAACAAAGAACCAACCAATTTCATAGTTTAGTGAGACTTGGACTAGGACTCAGGCACGTGAATTTTTATGTGTTCAGTTCCGTCATTCTGACTGGAATCATGTTGATGGTGAAGGACTGGGTGCTCTGTTGTCACAGCCTTCTACCACTCCACTCAGTCTTGGTTCCAAAACCATCTTGTTGAAGAGGTAGCAAATAGCCTTCTCTAAGCAACATGTCCTTCTAGTCCTAAGTTTTATATATCAAATCATCTAAACCAATGTATTCTTCCACATGGAAGAGCTTTACCAGGGACATTCTATACATCATTACATGGTAACAAGTCAGCAAAATGAATTACACAAAAATATATGTCAACTTTTCATGCCTTTGCCACTAACAAGATTTGCATAATCAACAATAACAAATATTGTACCTTAACAATTCTAAGATTTAAATCATGTCATCTTTAATGAAATTCTAACAAACCAACAGTGGTGTTCTAAGCTTTATACCGCGAAACAAAGAAAGACAAACCATTGAAGTTTGTGGGAGGCAACCAAGGTTGTGTGTGTGTGTGTCAATGTGTATGTACACAGCTGTTTCCACTCAGTCCATTCATAACACATAATAACCTGAACAGCCATACAAGAACCTTAACTGGAAACCATACCAAAGGGAGATAACTCATAAAAACTGTTGCACACCCAACTGAGCATTATTTCAGCTGGCCAGCAAGTGTATTTCTGAAAGAGGGGGAGAGATTTGCAAGGTAGACTACCAAATTTAACTCATTGGTTTGGAACAAACTTGCGTACTGTATGATCAAATCTGTTGGTGCTGGCAGGGAAATTACTGGATAAGGGGTATTCTAGTTGGTCGCTCCTTATTCGGTGAGTTATCAGATAACAAGTGTTATGTTGGCAAGGGTTCCCACTTAAGGAATCATGCATGGTAGAAGTCAACATCATTCCACTACATAACAGCACTTCAGGCATGCAAAGACGTACAAGGAACTCGCTCGATCATGAACTATTTCACTAGCAGCAATCTGCCATGGATAGCACGAGGTGGAATGTAAACATTAATCACTACCATGGGAAAACTGACGGTATCCTACAAGTGATCATGGAGGTATCCTACAACTGATCACGGAGGCATCCTACAAGAGATCACGGAGGTATCACACAATACCCTTGTGATCAAAGAGGCGTACTGCAAAAGTGATCATGGCAGCATCCTAAGAGTGATCACAAAGATATCTTACAATATGTCAGCGATCACAGAGGTATGCTGCAAGTGATGAGGAAGCTATTCTGCAAGTGATTCCATTGGTTTGACACGAGTAATCACCAAAGTTGAAATACAAGTAATAACTTGCCTTCTCCAAATGTTTCACTGTAGTTGGACGTAACCTGCCAGTAATCATGGTAGCATCTTACAAGTGACGCAGTAATCAATCAAGCAATGCAAGGGCAAATCACAAATAGGGATGACAGATATCCAACAGGTCACCACGACCTCAGCATAAATATCATTGACACACTGCATTGCAGTGTTTTTTTCCTGTATTAATCAATTCTGTAAATCACATTACAGTATTTAAAAGATGCCTCGTCCAAAACCCGAACCCTAGTGAGAATTAGTAGCCTGCATGAGTTTAACATACACTGAACAACCATACTATCGTGGCAGGAGAACAGTATTATCCAATTATCGATTTCTGAATTACATTCATTCAAAACTTGAAAAAAAAAATAATTAAGAGATCGATGGACAATTTCAATATCAGATATGAACGACAGTGATGCACCAATGGTCTGCTAATGGACTTAAAAACTCATTCTCCCGATTCGGACCATAACACAAATGGCTAACACATGAATGTACAAAAACGTATCATTGCAACCACCTCTTCCAGTGGCCCTTGTTTTTAGTGTTCCACTGGGAACACGGCCCCAACTGCACAAGACATGTTCCAATTCTTCCGTAACTCTTCTTCCCTCCCAACTCATGTAGCTTTAAGTTGACAGTAATTTGAGCCTAGACGTTACAACATTGTTTCTTGGTTCCCGCGGAATTATCTGTGGGCGCAACGGTAATTGTCTGTACATTGCTACTAGGCGAGTTTTCGTCGTCAGGACTATCACGGATTTGCTTCTGAGAAACTATTTTGTAAATCTCTGGAAATAGAAAAATACATGACAATCAGAAACTCATACTTGAACAAAATTATACATTCCTGAACAATATCAATGACTTTAAACTAAAATGACTAAATTTCACTTGTTTTTTCAAATAGCAGTTGCAGGTCATTAAAACTTAACCACAGTTTTCTCTTCACACTGAAACATTCAAATTACACCTACATTGGACTTATCCAAGACATAATAAAGTAAATAGCAGATGATAATAGTCTCAAGACATAGTGAATATCATTTCTTCCATATGAACACTTACATTAACGTTCCGAATTCTGTTAACGGTCAACACAAAGTGCGAAATTACCACTGGCCCGCTAGCCTGTGGCTAGTAAAAATCCAGTCCGACAGTAAATTTCTACAGTCACTGGCCCGACTGGCTAGTGACTTTTCATGGGGTCATTTTGTAAATATGCCACTCTCTCCGACTTGTTAAGTTATAGAATACACTTTTAAATCCTGCGAGATGATGAACTATTTTGTGGGCTAGTAACTTTCAGGCATAGCTAGCTCAACAGGATAGCAAACTTTGGAAACTATTTCGCACACTGTGTCAACATGTATTTTACACAAAAAGATGTGTTACCTGTAAGAATGTTGTGAAATGCTGCTTCAACATTTGTGGAATCTAACGCTGATGTTTCTATGAAGGATAGGTTATTTTTTTCTGAAAAATACAAACAATTTACAATTTTAGGACATAAAAAGAAGTGTGAAACCCCCCCGAAAAATACGCCTCTGAAATAGAATTAAGGCTGGCATTATAAACACCAAGAAAAGGGCATGGCATTACACTCACCAAATTCAGACAATAATCATGATGATCAATGGCTTATCAGGCTCACGATGATAATAAAAACATCAGGCAACAGTTACTCAGTCTCAAACATTACTGACTGACTGAGTACGGTTTTACGCTGATTTTATCAATATTCCAGCAATATCACGGTAAGGGACACTAGAAATGGGCTTTACACATTGTACCCATGTGGGGAATGGAACCCGCGTCTTTTGTGTGGACGAGCTTAACACTTTAACCACTAGACTACCCTACCTCCCCGGCTCCAGGTGGAACTTATACTTCAAGTATCAGCATTGATCTAAATGCAGTAGTTTGCAGATCTCCGATACCTCAGCGGTTCACAATTATACAAAACCAATCCCAAGGTACCAAGCATGGGACTGTATATGTGTTCCTGTTACCTGCAAATGCCTTGGCCTCGTCTGTGGGTACAGCACGTAAATGTCTCAAGTCACTCTTGTTCCCCACCAGCATTATGACTATGTTTTGGTCTGCATGATCCCTTAGTTCCTTCAGCCACCTCTCCACGTTTTCATATGTCAAATGTTTGGCAATATCATATACTAGCAGGGCGCCAACTGCTCCTCGGTAATATCTGAAACAAGCACACAGACATGGTGAACCATCTGGCAGAGCTATTGTGTTTTGCTGATACATTCCTTTTTAAACAATGTTCCTGCTCTGTTGACAAGGAATCACAGGCTGCAATCAGTGCATCTACTGGAATTTCAGCCCTATTTTCACAGAGAAAATGTCAGCAGAGGTTGATTTAAGAGACGTTAACCTACTTGCACCAGGTGCAACCTAAGATAAAAAACCTAGTTGCATCTGCCAAATTCCAGCGGCACTACTTTTATTGCAATATGTAATGAAAGAAATATGCTATTGAATTATTCAAAGTTTAGAAGAAAAATGAGCTGACATTATTATGCTTATAATGTATGATGTATTTCTCAAAGATTTACTTGCACCTGGTGCAAGTTAGACATATAACTAGGTTGCACTTTGTAATTTTGGGTTGCACCAGAGCAAGTAACAAAGCAAGACTAGCTGCGAACTTAGTCCCTAAATGTATCATTTACACATTAAACATTTGTGGAAATATTTGAACAATCATTGCAGAAACATTCAAAATATTCCTCCCCATTTGAACCAAAAAAAATCTGACATGAATTTTCATTCCTGCACGAAATTAATAAACTCAGTCTAAGTTATCTGCCTGTACCAGATGCATGTATGTGAAACTGACGAGTGATTGGCAGATACTTACGCACTAGTGATGGCTCTATACCTCTCCTGCCCAGCAGTGTCCCAGATTTGTGCTTTAATTGTCTTGCCATCAACCTGTATACTCCTGAAACAAACCATAATCCAGGATCTTATTATGACAGATCTCTTTGTGTCTTTGGCCGCAGTTAACATGGTAAATATTAGGGATGTCACGATACGTAAGTTTCATGAATCAATATGTATCACGATACCTATGTCACGATTCGATACATATCACGATACCTATTCCCGTGGCATTATTGCATTAATTTAGTTACATATAGAACATTAATATTTCATATGTTATAATTGTCCATGAAAAGATCAACATTTTTTATTCTCAGAGATTAAAAAGTTCTAATTTCCAATCTTTGTGCATGAAAAGTAATCATTTATAACTCAAATAACATAAAAAAACATGATACAATTGCAAAATGTAAACGATACATAAACATATGTAAACCGATACTTTCAAAACTAAATATCGATACCGTTTTGAATGTATCGATAATTGTATTGTCTCAGAAAAAGTACTGAAGCATCGTGGCATCCCTAGTAAATATGCATAGCAAGCATCATCAGAAAGCAAGTGCAGTAGAAAGGCCATCATAATCACATCTTAATATTCGGGATTATTACAGCAATACAGTAGCAGAAACTAACACACAGAACCAGGCAGAGTCTACTGAAATGGAGATTCAGGGATACGCATCTTTTTCAAGGGATAGATATCTTTTTCAAAGGGTGCCACAAATAATTTTGGTACGCCTTTGTGAAAACAACAAGTCTTTGGTATGCCTTTGTTTATCACAAGAAGTATATGCACTCAGGGCAAAGGTTCATCACTTGTATTTTCAGTTTACTACCCTGGAAAGCTCTTGACATGGTAACACAGTCTGCGGTCTCTGCCAACTGCACAATTCAATAGTTTTCACTGGTCACAATCAAGGAACGATTCATATTTCTTGGGTGGCCAACTTTGAGGAATATGCACATATATTTTCAATTGGGTTGGGATCGCTTACGCTCAGCCTATCAAACTTCTGTTTCAAAATTGCTCGATCATTTTGCGTGTTTTCAGAGACATCAAGTGAATAATTCTTTATTTCCTCCTCAGTAACTTATTGGAAAAGGGTTTATATGGTTCTCTTCTGTGGCACTGCCTTATTGATATTTACCATGCATTGGTACACAAATTAAGCACTATTTGGATCACTGAGTTTAATTCCACACTCAAGTGAGTGAGCGAGTTTAGTTTAACTCCACACTTAGCAATATTCCACCTGTATGGCGACGGTCTGTAAATAATTGTGTCTGGATCAGACAATCCAGTGATCAACAGCATGAGCATCAATCTATGAAAATGGGATATGATGGACGTGCCTACAAAGCCAGTGAGCCCGACCACCTGATCCCGTTAGTCACCTCTTACAACCAGGAAGGGTTACTGAAGATTAATTCTAATCCAGATCTTCACGGGTCCCACATTCAAGATTATCATGATTATTGCCCTTATATCATGTACACAATATGTGCTGTGACTGCTTGTATTGGGGTACAGATTTGTAGTGGTTTTAGGTTAACTGACTGATTGACTGAGTATGGTTTTACGCCGCTTTTAGCAATATTCCAGCAACATCACGGCGGGAGACACCAGAAAAGGGCTTCACACATTGCACCCATGTGGGGATTCGAACCAGGGTCTTCGGCGTGACAAGCCAACGCTTTAACCACTAGGCTACCCCACCGCCCCTTTTAGGGTAACAACTAGAGCACTGAAATACCATGTCTGCTTTTAACTCGGACATAGCATACTAATAATGATACTGACTGATATCTCCTTACAGCCATGTGCAAGGTAGGGTAACATATTTAGTTACAATGCAACTGGATATCAAACCACTGACTTTCCACTAGCCAGGCTGATTTTCTATGGAGGCAGTCCATACAACAAAGAAGCTGTTTACTAACTGGAATACTTGCATTAATGATTTAATCAACACAAGTGATGGTTCAGATGTTCAAAATTAATGCCAGATATTCGTCATATGGGCTAGCTGTTGTACTGGGTTCATACTGATAGTCAATATTAAAAAGCCATGCAGGGCTCGATTTAAGAGATGTTAACCTACTTGCACCAGGTGCAACCTAAGATAAAGACCTATTTGCACCAGCCAAATTCCAGTTGCAACATAGTGTGTTAAAATGTTTCGGTGCACATAAACCTTAATCAGTGATGTAGTACCCATGAAACCATAGCAACACTGAGACACAGCTGATCCCTATTTACAAGAGCTGTCATAGCCGAGACGTGTTTATGAATAGCAATGTTTCATTGCCATAGCTATTCAAAGTTTAGAAGAAAAATGGGCTGGCATATTTATGCATATGTTAGATTTATTGTTTATTTATTTCTCAACAATTCACTTGCACCTTGTGCAAGAAAGACTCATAACTAGGTTGTATTTTGTAATATTGGGTTGCACCAGTGCAAATAACAAAGCACTAAATCGAGCCCTGCCATGTCATCAGTGAGAGATAACAAGCTGTCAACCATATGACCAGCCTGAATACTCGATTTCATTAAGTCTCTCTAGTGACAAGCAAAGATTGATGGGAACCAACATTAACCCAGAATGACCACCAGATATTCAAAGTCAAAATTGAGCATTTCTCAAATACAAAAATCTATTTTCATTCATACAAATATCATTCAACTAATATCCTGAAAGGTCAGCATGTTCAAGTGAAACACTTCAAACTTCCTCATATCAACAATTTATGATTAGAGCAGTAAGTTTTCCTTAATAGTTAGAAATTCGATACATTCCTCGACTTCAATTGCTTTAAGAACCCTGCTGTTCAACTGCTTAATCTGACAGGGAAGTAAAGCTATGAAATATGAGCAATAACTACTTAAATATAGGACCGCCTCCGTGGTGTAGTGGTTAGAGCGTCCGCCCGGAGAGCGGAAGGTCGTGGGTTCGATCCCCGACCGTGTCATACCAAAAGACGTTAAAATATGGTACTTGCTGGTCCCTGCCTGGCGCCCGGCATTAATGGGTACAATAAGGACTGGTCGGCTCGGAGTCAGTATAATGTGTCTGAGTGGGGTATCCATGCTTCACTGCGACATGGTATCTCAGTGGGCTAACACTATAAAACCAGCTTCAGTCTGGGCTAGTACAAGCAGCCGCATATACATACGCATGCACGTCGTCATATGAGTGAAATATTTTCAAGTACGACGTTAACCCAATTTCAACTCACCTCACTTAAATATAGATATTAATTTACGTAAATCTTTCAAGAAGTCTGTACCTTCCAGCACTTTTCAACGATTGTGCGACAACTGAGAAATAGTTAATTTCAGTACCTTTCATTGAAACCTGCAACAGCTGATTAAGGTAAAAACAACCTGAGTAGTCAAGTAAGGACTGTATAAACCTGTGGTCAATAGTGTGAACAACGTTCCTAGTGGTCATGGTAACAAGTAGTAGAGTCCAAGCCAAGTGTCCATTTTTGGTTGCATGTAGTGCTGGTCCAATTAATTGAAATAATTTAAGATTGGTCGCAGTGACTAAACGACCAAGCAATCTAATATGTTTCTAATAATCGAACAAAAACAATTTTAGAACACATGTTTGCATCAACAATATTTTTCACCAGGTTGGTTTTGTCTGTGTGATTAAATTTATATTTCATCAGCACGATTGAATTTATACTATCATACATACTAGTCATCCTTTAATTGTGTGAAATTTGCAAATGCATTTTGTGCAATTTGCAAAAGGACCAAAAGAACTACATGGTTCTTTTCTTTATTTTTGTGTGCATTAACAAAGGTAACATGTACATTTGATAAATGACGCTAACCAATTATTTTCGATGACTGATCGGTTGTAATGGACCAATCATCAATTATGATATTTTAACCTATTCCCAACACTAGTTGCATGAAGATACACAGACATTAAATGCTGCTTCCAAAATGTACCATGTACCAAAAAATGTCAAATGAATGTGAACAATGTAAATAATTTGCAATGCCCAATCCATTATGAAAATGGGTATGGCTGATAAAATCATTAAAACCAATTCATGATGTTCAATTGTGACATGCAAATGTATTTAACAATTGTCTGATTTTGTTCTTTAAAGTTTTGTCCCCAACTCAGGGATGTTCTTACACTTGGCCCCAATTTCTCGACACAAACTTAAGTCTGAGTTTTGACTTAAGTTAGAGTTTTTACTCAAATTTGAGAAAACACAGAAAAATGCATTTCCCAGAATAAACTGAAATCGATAATAAACCCAAACATAGTAGACAATTTGAGTTTGGTAGATAGATCACTTATGTTGTTTGGGCTTTTTATTTTAAAAATGCAGTTGAGTTAAAAATTCAGCTGTTTCAAATTGTCAAACTCAGTTTGAAATTTGAGTAAAAACTTAAGTTTGTTTCGAGAAATCGGGCCTGCTCAGAGGCTACTATTCAGCCAAGAATGCAGCAAATGACAGAAAAGAATTACAATTTGAAAACATATATTTTCAAAATTCCTGAGAAACTACAAGAAAAATAACATTAAAACGCTTTGCAAGAAAATCACTAAAGGCACTTAGTTAGGAATCTTAGATAAAACTATATAGGTCTCATTACATAAAAAAATCATGAAGTATAAACCAGTTCACGCACACAAGGCCTAAAAAAAATAAAATGTTGTGGTTCCATTACCCGGCCAACCCCTAATTATTTCAAGTGGAATGAATAAAATGAGCTTCAGATACCATTGCTTTTTACCGGCACCAACAGATATCTGAGAGAGAAAGATGTTGTGATGGCCGCAAGCTTGATTAAATAAACAATTACACATTGATCAATGTGTTATTAGTCTGTACTTTACTTCTAAAAACAGCATGTAAAAATAAAAAAATCCGACTTACCTACCCTAAATTTTAAAGAGGTAATTGGAACCACAACATTTTTTTTATTTGGCCTAAAAGCCTTAACACTTTATACAAATTTACTTCCTAGCACAGGTGACACAAGAATCGTTCTTTTCATATGAATGATCCCATTTTCATACTATTATTATCATTATAGGATATTCATATAGTGCCCATATTCACGCAACTAGTACATGCTCAAGGCACTGGGGTTTTTTTCCCTCGATCATTGGATGTCAATCTCAACGGCACATCGTATTATCAATCTCAACTCCCTGGGGACCACACAACTCTAGCAGCCACGAGACGCACCGAGTTATTGGGGCTTTCCCGTCCTTACAAGGTACCCATTCACAGCTGGGTGGACTGGGACACATAGTCACAGTACTTTTTCCAAGTATACTGCACGTTGCTATACCCACAACTAGGTGCTTGCACACATTCATGTGGCCACCACCTGGTCATTTACCAACAGATTCATGGGTTCTTTTAAGTGCACAGGGTTGTGTACTGTACATTTTCATATGTATGAACCCCAAACTATCGAGTGTTTCTGCTGACATTTTTAACAGCTGTACACTGTCACTAACATTTCTAATACAGTCATTTGTAAATTTTACCGGTCAAGTGATCACGCGTGATTGTGCACGAGACCTTGCACACAAACAACCAATCAGAAATGTAGAGGGTATTGCAATGAGTCAATGTCACTATTTTGAACCTGGGGTTTTCCAAAATTGCTATTTTTATTTGACAACACCCCGATGTCACTGTGAAAAGTCACTGAAAACGTAATCTCTTCCGAGGAGAAATAAAATTGACAGAGGTAATTAGAAAATTGATTTTAATATTTGTCAGACACGATGACTGACAGCCTTTGAAATTACCGGACATTCTAACTTTGTACCAGTCAAAGTCTGGTATATACCAGATAACGGAAACACTGCTATCTCAGGAGTGACAAACAGAAGACCTCAGTAAACCCTGCCTTATGGGCCTGGCTAATGAAACTGTAAGGATTATCCATTTTCTAATTATATCTAGCTATTTTACATAAAGTCAACTGTGTGACATAAGAACAGATTTATTCATGGTGTTTGCCTTGGGTGGTCCACAGCGATATCCATTAGAGATTGTCTGATGAGTCATAATAAACTATTGATTCCCTTCTCTAAAGCAGTGATTGATTCTACCTGTTCACATTCCTGCCATGTTGCTATTGCAAGAAATATTGTTTAATATGCAGTCATTCTCTTTCATGTTCACTCAATCCTGTGCACTCGACCATAAATACATCCATCATTAATACTGCAAGCATCTGCAGATTCATGTAACATATGAGAATTGAAATTCAACCCGCATAATTCTACATTTTGGACATTGTATTTCATTACCAACAACAAATCCCAGGTAGACTAGGTTTCTTGTTTCAAACTGACAATGACAATTAAAACTAGTGTTGGGAATTGGTTGAAATCTCACAATTGATGATTGCTTCATTACCAACAAACAATCATCGAAAAAACTTGGTTAGCATCATTTTTCAGATTTTCCTCTCCAGGTTGTTATTGCAGAAAAGTATAACATGATGCAACTTGTTACATTAAACATGTTAAAGTGATGACTAATATATCATGAACATAAACTTCCTGGAGTCTTAGAGAAACATTCAGTCATGACTTTTCAGTTAGTGAAGTGAGTTTTCTAAGGATTAAACATGTTTTTAGGCCCTGGCAACTTCTAAGATATGTTCCATTGTCAAGTATTTCAAAGACTAAAACTGTAGTTCCAAAATCGTTTCTGATCGATTATGAGAAAATGTGATCGATTGCTTGGTTGTTTGGTCACTGTGACCAATCTTCGATTATTCCAATTAATCGAACCACCACTAATTAAAACACCCTTTAATGGGCACTGCAAAAACTCTTTGTTTAAAACAAATATAAAAACTATAATGGAAGCCAGCGAGAAATGCACATGACTAGGATGGATGTGTAACTAACCCAGACCCTGGCACATCTATAATAAATCAGCGCAGTGAGTTGTAACACATTGGAATAATTCCGGACCAACATGCCATGCAGACTCATCCAAGCATCTCCCTTAAAAATTATCAGTGCACCTTGAAGCCAAATTCTTACTTCTAAGGGACACAACTCAGTAGGCTAAGCTGTTGAGTCAACAGTTGCTCAGATCACTGGCCCCAGCTTCACTGTATATCTACATATCAATGTGTGTGCCCCACTTATATGGCAAGGATAACCTTGATCTGCAATATTCACGGGCATCTCACCTTGTGGCAAACTCTACTCCTATTGTGCTCTTGCTCTCCAAGTTGAACTCATTCCTGGTGAATCTGGACAGTAGATTACTCTTTCCAACACCTGAATCTCCAATCAGGACAACTGTAACAGAACATAACACTCAGTAGTCACATGTCTTATACATAAGCCATGAAGTTGTTGTTGTAACAGTAAGAAAGCAGTTCTTAGGTTTAGTTTAGTTTTACCCCACACTAAGCAATATTCCAGCTATATGACGACGGTCTGCAATAATCGGGTCTCGAGTCTCCGATGATCAACAGCATGAGCATCGATCGATGCAACTGGGATACGATGAAATTTGTTTTACATGTGTCTACCACATCAGTGAGCCTGACCACCCATTGCTGCCTCTTACAACAAGCATGGGTTACTGAAGATAATTCTAACCTGGATCTTCAGGGTAATTGTGAGGTCTAGAATTGGCCTGCCAATGAAAATCATGAGAATGCAATCAAGCTATGGAACATGAATACACTGCTGGAATGAGCATGGTTACTGCAATAGTGAATGTCAACATATCGTACCAATGGTTACTTACATTTTAGAATAAAATCAACATCATCATCAGGGAAAATACTGTTACACAATGAAACATGAATGGTAGATACTGTCAACTTCTACAACTTTTCGCGAACAGTTTAAAATCCTTCTACACCAGATGTGAGGTGAGGTGAGATTGGGTTTAACGTCATGCTTGAGAATATTTCGCTCATATGACGACGTGCATGCGTGTGTTTGTGCGTCTGCTTGTACTAGCCCAGACTGAAGGTGGTTTAATAGTGCTAGCCCACTGAGATATCATGCCGCAGTGAAGCATGAATACCCCACTCAGACACATTATACTGACTCCGAGCCGACCAGTCCTTATTGTACCCATTAATGCCGAGCGCCAGGCAGGGACCAACAAGTACCATATTTTAACGTCTTTTGGTATGACGCAGATCGAACCCGCGACTTTCCGCTCTCCGGGCGGAATCTCTAACCACTACACCACGGAGGCGGTCTTCTACACCAGATGTGATCAGCAATGAAACACTGTGGTACTGGTAGACAGTGATATATATGTAGCAGATGTAGTGCAAGAGATCCTGTTTGTAAACAGTATGACTCACCAGCTATTACTATCATGACTATTAATAGTATTTAGTCCAGGACAGCCTGGAACTTGGGAATGAGTAAAAATCAAACAACAACGATAGCTCATTCTCAAAGCACAGTGTTCACGAATAACGTCTGACCCTCTGACAAAGCGGGCATATTCGCCAACAGTCCAATAGAAATCTACAACTCTCAGGCCCCAGTGTCTGACTGTATATTTCACAAAAACTTCGACTGACGTTATATGTCACATGTTTCACTTGTTTGCTGTTTATAAATCTTATGTTTGTTAATAATTTCAATGTCAATTATAAGAAATGTTAAATCTGAAATGTGTGTTTAATTTTATTCTATGGGTCCTGTGAATTTTCAATGGGTCTGACAGACATCTGAAACTTACAGGACCCAATGTCCTGTTAACTTTGAAACACCATTTGTGAACACTGAAAACATCAATGGTAATCAACAAAATGAAAAGAACTATATCAGGATCGCATAACTTTTATGCTTAAAATACCCTTCCAGGTTGGAAAGGGAGACATCCGACACTGGACATGGCTTCTGATTGGACATGTTTCTGTTTGGGTAATTGTTAGTCTAGATGTTGGACACACCATTCATTAAGCTTACATTTGGGGAATTTACCCCATCCACTTAATCTTAATTGTGTATGTTGAGTTCCTAGTGAAACTGATTTTTAAGAAAGAGACTCATATATCAACTTGTTTTACAGGTTTACATGTAAATCTGACTATTAACACTGTTCACTATCAGAGTATTTACTCATTCACATGGAACAAAAAAAATACCTGAAGATTAAATTTTACCGGAAGGAAAATTTACACACCTGTTAAACCCCACTTCCCAAAGCATAAACATGATAAACATAAGGAACTCATGTTTGAACCCAACATCGAATTGCTATCAAACATTACAATAATGACCAAAGTGATATTATAACTATCAAACAAGAGTCGTATATCATGTCAAGCTGTTCAAAATTCAGTTGAGACATGATAACGAAGAAAGATGACTTGTGATATCATCAAAGCCAACATGCCCATAAATCTGAACCCACTTTGATTTCTGTTGTTTAACCATCAATGTAATCAAATAGCACCTAAACATTCACCATAAACACCTGCATGAGAACAAATCACAAACATGATTATTAGCCTTAAAATGACATCATGCTGGAATGAGCATGGTTACTGCAATAGTGAATGTCAACATATCGTACCAATGGTTACTTACATTTTAGAATAAAATCAACATCATCATCAGGGAAATATTGTTTCATAATGAAACATGAATGGTAGATACTGTCCATTTCTACAAGTTTTAGCGAACAGTTTAAGATCCTTCCACACCAGATGTGATCAGCAATGAAACACTGTGGTACTGGTAGACAGTGATATATATGTAGCAGATGTAGTGCAGGAGATCCTGTTTGTAAACAGTATGACTCACCAGCTAATACTATCATGACTATTAATAGTATTTAGTCCAGGCCAGCCTGGAACTTGGGAATGAGTAAGAATCAAATAATAATGATAGCTCATTCTTAAAACATTCAATGGTAACAAAAAAAATGAAAAAGAACAGTATCAGGATCTCAAAGCTTTTAGGCTTAAACTATAGTCTATACCCTTCCAGGTTGGAAAGGGAGACAACTGACACTTGACATGGCTTCTGTTTGGCCATGTTTTCTTTTACCATGTACATCTTCAATATGTATAAATGACAGTAATTTCTCAAGTATTTTCTGTAGCTACACACAAGAATCCCACAAGAAATTATCATCCAGCCATTCTATTTCTTAAACTGAATATTTCTTAGAGCTTTTTTCACAGAGAGAGTGTGCCCAAAGTGTATCTATAGGTTAAGATCATGCAATTGACAAAGTTGCATTTACTAACAGTTTTTCTAATTTCACAAAATTTTAGATTTTTATGTTCTCACTTCACTTGTGGAACAAAGTACAGATGAAAGATTCTCCTGAAAGTTCACTTGAATCATGGAATTGGCCTACCAATGAAAATCATGAGAATGCAGCCAAGCTATGGTACATGTATACACATAAAATAGTAGGATGCCACAATACATCGATAGTTTTTCTAAGAGATACAATTATTGATACATTCAAAACTATCAATATTTAGTTTTGAAAGTATTGGTTTAAATATATTTATGTATCGTTTACATTTTGCAATTGTAATTTGTGTCATGTTTTTTTATGTTGTGAGAGTTATAAATGCTTATTTTTCATGCACAAAGATTGGAAATAGAAATTTCTAATCTCTGAGAATAAACAATGTTGATCTTTTCATGGACATTTATATAATATGAAATATTAATGTTCAAAATGTAACTAAATTTATGAAATAATGCCGCGAAAATTGGTATCGTGATATGTATCGAATCGTGACATGGGTATCGTTGATACGTATCGATTCAGGAAACTTATGTGTCATGACATCCCTATAAAATAGAAATAGCCACACAAATAACAGACCTTTAACTTAATTAAGACAGGTGTTATGTTTTACACCATCTTTTTTACATGCCTATCAATACTGATCATAATTTTTATCATGATGATCCAGTATGTATAAACCAGCAGATCAAAATTATGTCCCTATGAAAGACTTCTAACGTTTTTTCAATATGTTCAGGTATTTAGGAATCAATAAGCTTGACAACCAAAATCAAATTGATTCTTTAATGTACACACCAGATGTTACTGACTCATCTATAACATGTACTGCCTGCATGAACCACATAAACACCACCTCATATCAAGCAAGGCTTGGTAAGTCAACTATCCCAAGACCATCCTTGTTAACCGTGTAAACTGACAAACCAGTTTCAATATGACAAATGTGAAATAGTACCTTGGGACTGAAAATCAATCAAGTCTGTGTCATCCAGACTGGACAGGCTACTCTGACTATGTAGATGGCCGTCAACCATCGACAGACATGTGGTTGCATAAGCTTTGTGGATGCAAATTACGTAACTCAAGTACATACACGACATATGCAATATGTTATGGTCAATTACACAGAATAGCTGTAGGGATATCCCAGACCTTCGAAGATAATTACAACCCATGATCAGTTTGTGGGCCAAGATTTGTATGTGTGTGTTGTCAGGCAGGGTTTTAACTGGACTCACAAACATGGGGGTCCCTGAGAACCCCTTATCAGTTCTAAGGGTCCCTGCAGACAATATGATGGTCCTGTGAAGTAATGGTTTAGAGAACTGTACGTTTGGATAATTTCTTTAGAGCCTGGATTGAATCATTGATCATGTGGACTGATGGGTGAAATGATGCAAGTAACTGCTCTGAAAGATACAACCAAACATTTAGCAAAGTCATAGATGTGGTGTGGCTACAATGAATATCATGCATCCCTCTGGATGCAGTCAATTATTTTCTGCGTCCATTCTCAACACTTGTGCGTACTGAACGCAAATTTGCGTGTCACGTAAAACCCTGTTGTCACGATTGTAAGTACAATTGAACTTAGTGTAGGCTTTCACCTAACCTGCAAAACTAGGGGTCTAGAGACCCCCCTATTACCAATTTCAATCTTCCTTACTGAAAATATGAGGGTCCCATAAAGTAATAAAAAGAAGTAGAATATTGTAATAACATAAAATAATTACTTCAATTATGGACCTTTACATTTCTTGTCAGGAATTTGGGTCAGTGAATAATATTGTGCATCCAGGGGATGCAATACATGTTTTTATCTGCGAGCATTCTACACATTTGCACATATGGACACGTTTCTGCATTGTGTAAATACCTGAAAGTGTTACTTACGTGTATGAGACTAAGTACAACTGGTTAGAGCTTGAGCTCATCAGGCCGAAGACCCGGGTTCGATTCCCAAAATGGGTACAATGTGTGAAGCCCATATCTGGCGTCCCCGCCGTGATATTGCTAAAAGCGATGTTAAACCAGGGCTCAAGATAAGGGCTGTATCGGCGTATGTACGGATATAAAATAAGCACGATACGGTAGGAAATAATTTTAAAAACGTAGCAAATACAGACCACAGCAATGCTGTACGGTTTCAGAATCATTTACAGACATATTTTTCTGAAAAAGTATTGTTTTATTGTTTACTGACCTCTTTAAACAAGAGTAGCAATGTTGTGGTGCATATATGAAACGAAACACAAGATTACTGATACGCCATTAAATTCCATTCAGTACTCTAAATGTACTCTTATTGTTTTCTTGTACTCTTATATTGAAAAAATAAGGAGTACGTACTCCTGATCATGAAAAATTATCTGGAGCCCTGTAAAACCACTCCCTATGGTATTTAACGGATAAAACAAGAATTGCATTGTAACTGCAGCATGGCATAGCAGTGAACTGCATGTAACTATATATGTGAATGTGATACACACTGTTAAGAAGTATTGCAATGTATGCCCTTATTCTTCAGTAAACTTATTATTCAGTGAATAACCGATATCAACAAGGTGTGATTCCTACAACATGCCAACATGGATTCCTTGCAGCCTAATCTAGTTGTAAGTGGCTACTAAATGGATCAGATGTCAGATGCCATGACTTGACTCCATGCAAGTCACCGTACCTGACAACAGCACCATTGTTCACAAAATTAGTCACTGAATTCACGGTTTTAGACTGACTATTTACAGGCTGTTATACAAATGCTTGAATACTGCTTAGTGCAGCTCTAAATAACAAACAATGAAATAATGCTAACCAGAAACCTTATCCATAACTTCAATATTTATTGCTGCAGTGCGAAAAAGTGGCACCATGTCATCTATCTTCTTATATTGGGCAATATGGTCACTTATACGTTTCATACCATGCCCTGTCCATTTCCATCCATGCACTCAATACTTCCACATACATTTTGAGGTGGGGTTGGGGGGTTGTGTAGTGGGAGAGATACTGCTGAAGCACAACCAAAAACTCATAACAACACCATATATTCAACCATAATTTGAAGCAATAAAGATATGTACATCTATGCAAACAGGCCACCTTTTCCGATCATTTGGAAATAGTCTAAAACTCATTTCCTGCCACCTGTAAAATTACTACCTAACCAATAAACTGAAATTCAGAAAATAAAGGCGAGCTAGAATTGATCACAAAAATGTTTCTAACTTACTGAGCAAAGTCTGACTGCCTTCATGCCATACATACCAAATTGCAGACACACCTGTTTCATATTCTACACCAGTCACCACAGCCTATATCTAACCACTCACGAAATAAACCAAGGAAATATGTACCACTGATTGCATTACTGACGTTTCTGGAAATTTGCTGACACTTCTTAATCAGTAGGTCGTGGGATACAGTTGTACAAGTCTATACAATTCTGAAATCAAGATTTCATTCATCTCCATGCAAACAAAGCAGATTTATCTGGGTTTGTTTAGACACCTACAATTATCTAATTCAGACGGAATTGATGTTCAGCGCCTGTGATTAATAACGTCTGAACTGGCAACTGTAAACACTAACGATTGTACATATTCCTTAATTAAAGATAAATCCCATCCGCATTTAGTATAGGCCTTGACATATACGGGGTACACGCCCACCTAAATCTCGCTGAGGCAACTATACAACCTCAGGTGACCCAATGATAAATCGATCATTTCCACAAGGCATACATGTATTAGAATATTTACTTGGATTAATATTTTGTCAGTTCTGGGACATTTTCCTTTACATTTGCCTTTTATGTGACAATCGTTTGACACTTCACCCACAAGCCACTTGGATCGTATAGCAGGTGCCTGTTTGTTGGTCGTTTCCGTCCTTGTCAAACGAAGTCAAAATGGAAGTTGCGTAGCACCAACTCCCATCTAGCATAAAAATCAACTACAAGACGAACCGTATCTGTAAAGATGCACACATCTCATTTTAACAGATAATCGATGTCGCATTTGACTGGTGTCACCTTACCTTTGAAAAGATAGTCATATTCATCATCCTTAGTGCCCATTTTCTTTGCTCTTCCGCTTGGCAGACGCTTGTAAACAAATGCCTAGATGTCCCAATAAGAGATTATTTTGGGAAACAATAATTATCTAGTGCCTACTAAAAAGCTCAGCAAACACAGTTCAAACGGAAAATTAACACCACAAACGCAGATGATTACGATTTAGGCCGATGACAGCCAATACTATCGTCGTCTATTCCCTTCTCTGCAGCCAATATGGCGGACCATTCAACGCCCCTTGGTCGACTGCGCATGGAATGACGTCACCACAGTAAGCGGAAGTGAAGTCGTCTAACAACATATCTAGTCTGGATTAGATATAAGAAAAGGGTAGATATTGATGGTAACTTCCAAAGTAATTAACAGACAAATATAAAACAATCACATGAAACAATAAGCTCAGATTCAAAGTATAAGATTGTTGTTTAACCTCACACGAGAGAACATCTGTATTTCTTCACCATGCACGCAACTGGGGTTAGAAGCTTAAGACGATTTGTCCCTTCACGTGGAAATTATAAAAAAGCATTAATTATTAATACCACTCGCAACGGCCAGTAACTGGATATTAAGAATAACCCCCAAATAGATTAATAGTCTCGAATCCAAAGAAGAATATGTCCCCAGTGATATATGTTCTGGTATCGAAAGTGGATCGGATGGTCCGATTCAGTGGGTCATCGGGCCCTGATGCTAATATCAATGTTCATGCTATCAACGACTGGTCTGGCGTGTGCAGATTCGAATATTTACTAGCTGCCACGAAATTTAAGCACATTTTTTGACTGCGGCGTAAAACAAAATTAACATGGCTTTTTTTGCTGTGGAGGTTAATCCTGGTTTTGATTAGGGGTCCTATTATTGTGTGGACAGATCTAGGGGCTTAAATTATCGTATGCATTAACATAAATATTACACCTCTACTTCCTCCCTAGTCCATCAAATAAACAAATATATATACCCAATACAGCCCATGCAAGTCTGGAATATGTGGTAGGTCTAGATTACTGCAGTTGATGAACGTGAAGAAATTTTCTGACTCCATTTCATAAGCTTTTATGCAGATTATTTAGGAACTGTTCTTGTCCGTTAAAAAGAATGTTCGTTTCAGAGGCAAAAAGTTTAGTCCAAATGTGAGGCAGCGTCTACTGGTTCGACTCGGTGTAATTATGTTGGTTCGTCCTGTCATGTCATCATGGTGTAAAAATAGCCTACAACTTTTGAAGCTATTGTTGGTTTGAGCGCCGTACCGCAATCGTAAATGCAAATACCGTACTCCCTTTATTAAAAGTGCCGTATCTTGTCAACAGCGGCATGTTTCCACTGAACCCACCCTTACATATTAGTGAGTGAATATAGTGAGAGTGAGAGAGTATGGTTTTACGCCACATGTAGCAATATTCCAGCAATATCACGGCGGGGGACACATGAAATGGGTATGACAAATTGCACCCATGTGTGGAATCGAACCCGGGTCTTCGGCGTGACGAGCGAACGCTTTAACCACTAGGCTACTCCACCGCCCCTTGTACCTCAAAAGTTGTAAAGGCTGGAGCTGCAGAAACATTGCTCGACACGAAAGGGAAATAGACTATTGGAAAGTTGAAATTTTCCCTTTTGTAATACAGCCTTGTGGAGACTCAGTCATTTACTTTAGGAGGCCTGATTACAGGAAGTATTTACGAACCCTTCAGCAATATTACAGCAATATCAAGGCTGGAGGACACCAGAAACGGGCTTCACATATTGTACCCATGCTAGGAATCGAACCTGGGTCTTGGGTGTAAAGAGCGAACGCTTTAACTACACTGGGTTACCCCACCGAACCGAGGAAGAACTCGTAATCCAGGTGAAAGCTTTATATAAATACTCCGAGCAATAGTGAGTGAGTGAGTTTAGTTTTACGTCGCACTCAGCAACATTCCAGCTATATGGCGGCGGTCTGTAAATAATCGAGTCTGGACCAAACAATCCAGTGGTCAATAGCATGAGCATCGATCTGCGCAATTGGGAACCGATGACATGTGTCAACCAAGTCAGCGAGCCTGACCACCCGATCCCGTTAGTCGCCTCTTACGACAAGCATGGATTACTGAAGAGCAATATTCTAACCTGGACATTCACGGATCCGAGCAATAGCTTACAGTGAGTGAGTGAATGAATTTAGTTTTACGCCGCTTTTAGCAATATTCCAGCAATGGGACACCAGAAATGGGCTTCACACATTGTACCCATGTTAGGAATCGAACCTGGGTCTTCGGCGTGATGAGCGAACGCGTTAACCACTAGGCTATACCACCTCCCCTACGGAGAAGTAGGTTTGATAGCGAGATTAAATGACGCGAATGGTTTGTATTACCGACTGATGTCCTTTGACATGGGCATCAAGTGAACGTTCACTCTGACCTCCAGCATGTGGTGTCGTTGAAGGAAGGTAGGGTTTCAGCCAAAGGTGGACTTATCCACGCTAGCCAGTTGTGCACAAGTGACAGCGTGTAAGAGCACGTGTTCAGATATTGATGTCAAATGTACTGGTAGGTTTAATGTAGACCACAATCAAACGATGGATACATTATCGGATTACCCGAGTAGGTGTATACGATGCAAGCAGCAGACAGACTTGAATACACAATGCCATTTAGAAAGTGGTCAAATGTAACAATGAGGAGGTCAAATGTAACATATATGTTATATTTGGGATTACACTTTCTTAGTAAAGTACAAATTTTAGTACTTTTGTTGGGTTGAGTCCCATCCAGGATTCGAACCACACCCTCAGAGTCAGGCACCTAATCGCCAGCACATAAAGTCAGCTGCCTAACCCGCTCAGCCACCGCGACTTCCACTGAGCTGGGTGGGTTAGACTTGGCTGAGTGGGCTGACTTAGATGCCTGACTCTGAGGGTGTGGGTTCGAATCCCGGATGTGACTCAACCCAATAAAAGTACTAGAATCTGTACTTTACTGAGAAAGTGTACTCCAAAATATAACATATATGCTACAGGAGAAATACATCTTTAAATCTATATGAAACTATACATTATAATACATCTTTAAATCTATATGAAACTATACATTATAATACAATTTTAAATCTATATGAAACTATACATTATAATACACCTTTAAATCTATATGAAACTATACATTATAATACATCTTTAAATCTATATGAAACTATACATTATAATACATCTTTAAATCTATATGAAACTATACATTATAATACATCTTTAAATCTATATGAAACTATACATTATAATACATCTTTAAATCTATATGAAACTATACATTATAATACATCTTTAAATCTATATGAAACTATACATTATAATACATCTTTAAATCTATATGAAACTATACATTATAATACATCTTTAAATCTATATGAAACTATACATTATAATACATCTTTAAATCTATATGAAACTATACATTATAATACATCTTTAAATCTATATGAAACTATACATTATAATACATCTTTAAATCTATATGAAACTATACATTATAATACATCTTTAAATCTATATGAAACTATACATTATAATACATCTTTAAATCAATATGAAACTATACATTATAATACATCTTTAAATCTATATGAAACTATACATTATAATACATCTTTAAATCTATATGAAACTATAAATTATAATACATCTTTAAATCTATATGAAACTATACATTATAATACATCTTTAAATCTATATGAAACTATACATTATAATACATCTTTAAATCTATATGAAACTATACATTATAATACATCTTTAAATCTATATGAAACTATACATTATAATACATCTTTAAATCTATATGAAACTATACATTATAATACATCTTTAAATCTATATGAAACTATACATTATAATACATCTTTAAATCTATATGAAACTATACATTATAATACATCTTTAAATCTATATGAAACTATACATTATAATACATCTTTAAATCTATATGAAACTATACATTATAATACATCTTTAAATCTATATGAAACTATACATTATAATACATCTTTAAATCTATATGAAACTATACATTATAATACATCTTTAAATCTATATGAAACTATACATTATAATACATCTTTAAATCTATATGAAACTATACATTATAATACATCTTTAAATCTATATGAAACTATACATTATAATACATCTTTAAATCTATATGAAACTATACATTATAATACATCTTTAAATCTATATGAAACTATACATTATAATACATCTTTAAATCTATATGAAACTATACATTATAATACATCTTTAAATCTATATGAAACTATACATTATAATACATCTTTAAATCTATATGAAACTATACATTATAATACATCTTTAAATCTATATGAAACTATACATTATAATACATCTTTTAAATCTATATGAAACTATACATTATAATACATCTTTAAATCTATATGAAACTATACATTATAATACATCTTTAAATCTATATGAAACTATACATTATAATACATCTTTAAATCTATATGAAACTATACATTATAATACATCTTTAAATCTATATGAAACTATACATTATAATACATCTTTAAATCTATATGAAACTATACATTATAATACATCTTTAAATCTATATGAAACTATACATTATAATACATCTTTAAATCTATATGAAACTATACATTATAATACATCTTTAAATCTATATGAAAATCTATAAATTATAATACATCTTTAAATCTATATGAAACTATACATTATAATACATCTTTTAAATCTATATGAAACTATACATTATAATACATCTTTAAATCTATATGAAACTATACATTATAATACATCTTTAAATCTATATGAAACTATACATTATAATACATCTTTTAAATCTATATGAAACTATACATTATAATACATCTTTAAATCTATATGAAACTATACATTATAATAAATCTTTAAATCTATATGAAACTATACATTATAATACATCTTTAAATCTATATGAAACTATACATTTATAATACATCTTTAAATCTATATGAAACTATACATTATAATACATCTTTAAATCTATATGAAACTATACATTATAATACATCTTTAAATCTATATGAAACTATACATTATAATACATCTTTAAATCTATATGAAACTATACATTATAATACATCTTTAAATCTATATGAAACTATACATTATAATACATCTTTAAATCTATATGAAACTATACATTATAATACATCTTTAAATCTATATGAAACTATACATTATAATAC